GCTGTATAGGATCATCATGTGGTTAAAAGAAGATACTTCCCTCCAAAAAAAAAAAAAAAATCTTTTAATGTGGAAACAATAAATTTCACAGAAAAAAAGGGCCGAGATTGCTTTATTTGGTTCCTGCCATCCCATGAGAAAAGGACATACAAAGGCTGTTGAACGTCTCTTCCCCCACATGGGATGTGTGGTGGCAAACAGGTATGAAATGAGACAGAAGATTGAGACCGCAGGAGATGCCTTATTCACCCACTTTTCCAGTCGTGTACCATTTTAGGGGCAGCCTGAGAATGGTCCAGACCCCACAGGATAGTAGAGAAGACCAGGACTGGTGAGTTTCCAGGGCATGGAGTACCTGCATAGACCCAGGAGCTGGTCTCTAGTTGCACTGTATACAACATTGTGTGCAGAAGTCTTGGGATTAGAGAAGTTACATGGGCATGGGCTTCTCTCACACTTCTTTCCTTGGGTTGGTGTTAGCAAAAAAAGTTCCAGGTGTTTGGTAGCATACCATGTTGAAGAAATGGCAAAATGGGGTCTGTGTGTGTTGTGTCTGAACCCTGCTCACAGCAGCACAAACGCAACAGCGTACTTCATAGTTTAAAACTGCAAGTGGTGGCAGAGGCAGGTAGATGAGAGTTTGAGGTGGAGGCCAGCCTGGTGTACATAGTGAGAGCCCCAGAGATCCTGTCTCCACCTCCCCCCCCCCAAAAAAAAAAAAAAAAAAACAAACAAACCATAAACAATAGCAAAAAACCAAGTGAATTGAAGGGAGTCAGATCCCTGAATAGGAAAAACATGAAGTAAGGAGAACCGTCAGGCGTTTTCTGTTAACAAATGACAAGAATATCTGCTTATTGTTTGTCCTTGGAGATTTTGTCCTAAGCTAACTCACCAAGAGGCCTGCAGTCACGTGTGTAAATGCTGGAATGCAGTCCGAACGTCTCATTGATTGCCGTTAATGGTGGAAAATGGTGTATAATATCTCACTGATGTGCAGTCACCTTCAGCTTCTTGCCAAACTGCCTTTGGAAGGATTGGATTAGGTCAGAGGTTTGAGCGATTAGCAGACCTTTGTGGAAGCAGGGGTGAGGCTGAGTCCTCATCTCTGGCTCCCAGGGATTTCTTAGCTGTTCTGAAGCTTTATAGTATCCATGGGCTTATCCAGGCAGCTCTGGCTTTTGCTGCTCTCAGGGATGGGGGGATGGGATGCTACTGCTGCTGTGGGTCCAGGTCTGAAGAAACAGCAGATGGCCACTTTTTTTTTAAGCACCCTTGTAGCAGCAGCCATCTTCACAGAACCCCATGAGGATTCCTTTGTGGGATGGATGGGTCAAGGATACTTTGTACTTGCTGGCCTAAGTCTGACTCTAATGCTGGAACGTTTTAATACAGTTCTTCATGTTATGGTGACCCCCTCCAGCTGTAAATTATTTTTGTTGCTACTTCATAATTGTCATTTTGCTAGTTATAAATCATTTTGTAAATATCCAATATGTGACCTTGAGGGTTTGCAATGCACAGGTTGAGAACCACCGCTTTAAAGGTTGTTGCCTGAGTTCTTGCTTTCCTTGTGGGTACCTGTTGAATCCTCAGGACTGAGAATTTGCTGGGCTAGGTGGGTCTGTGGCAGCCTTCCCATTTGAAGTGCTGATCTTGTCTCTCCTAATGTCCACTTGTTGGCTCAGAGCCTGGAATCTAATGTGTGAGGCCAGGGGGACTGTATAAATGAGCACAGGGTAGTCACTTCCCCCCAGTTTGCAAAAGGGACAGCTCAGGGCAAGGCCAGGATTGGAAATGGGACCATTTTCTGTCACATACTGGAGGCCTAGCAACCCACTGTGTAGTTTGGACCTGGGCATTCTTTCCTCCTGCCATAGCCTCCTGAGCTCTGGGGTTTATATATGGGCCTGGCTTCTTAAAAAGGCAAATGTGAAAACAACAGATCGGTTAGTGCCTATGTTGGGGGCCCAAATGGGATTTGTGCTGTTTTGTGATTTTTTTTTTTTTTTTTTGTCCTGCTGTCTGTCCATCTGCACCCACAGGAATTCTGCTGGCCTTTTCTGTCAGCTCCTTAGGAACCCTTCCCTGAGGTAGATGTGACCCGCTGGAATGAAGTTTAAACTTTTCACTGACCTGGCGTTTTGTAAGCAGGGATCATACTCTACTGCCATGCAGTACGTAGAACCCTGCGTGGATTGTGGTCATGGGTGGATGGATGTCTGGCAGGAGGGCAGGGCTCACTTAAGGGGGTTGGCAGTGTGGGCCCGTATCACCTGTGAGTGACACACTTAAGGGAGGCTTAGTGGCCAAGCCCTGCTGCTCAGTGCACTAAAGGACAGGGCTAGGAAACATTTGTTTATTTTCATAAGTTTTAGCTAGGAACAAAATGTCTGAATATTGATCCCTCTGTTGTGGGGGGTGTATTTTTAAATCATTAATTTCATTGTTATTCTCCATGTCTTAATCTGGCCTAACTGTGGTAGCTATAAAAGCTTGCTTTTGGGATAAACTTCAATAAAGTAAAATAAGTTTTAGTGTCTGATGGGTAGGATGGCTTAGCATTATAGATCCAGTTGTAGTCATGCAGTGCCGAGATAACCCTTGGGAAAAGCACTTAGAGTGGCAACACGAGGTGCAACTAAAGCTTTAAAAAGAAAAATCAACTGATGGAAAGTATATAGGTGGCTTACTCTCCAGATTTTAAAATTGCCTCTAAAGTTGCCCAAATTAACTAAAGAAAAATCAAAGTAACAACACAAATTTTCTTTTACTGTGCAAATTGGCCTGAGACATGTGCCGAGAGGCAGACATGTGGCTGCTCTCACCTGCACAAATAGCCACCCCCGAGTATTAAAGCAGTTTTCTAGGTTCTCCCCCAGCCCTGGATGCAAGAGGAGAGGGTCATGTGTTTTACAGACCCTGAGACACTAGTTAGATGCTTCTTTGTTTTCTGAGCCATTGAGAACAATGTAGCAACTAGAACTATGGAAATGCTCAACTAGGTCTTTACAAAAATTCTTACTTCCTGTGTATGGTGTTTTGTCTGGATGTATGTATGTGCACCATGTGCAAGCCTGGTGCCTTTGGAGGCCAGAAGTTATCAAACCCCTTGGATCTGGAGTTAAAGATGGTTGTGGGTACTGGGAATTGAACCTGGATCTTCTGGAAGAGTGACCAGTGTTCTATGTTACTGAAAATTTTGAATGTTTTCTGACACATTTGTGCTTTTGAGACAAGTTCTCGGTAGGTTTGTAGCTGTTTTCCCTAGTGCTAGGGTTAAAAGCATGTCCCACCACACCTGGCACTTGTAAGGGATTCCTAGAATTTCGCTGTGAGCCCTCATTCTGAATCATTCTTTTTACCTGGAGTTGCCCTTGTCCATGTTTTCCCAAGCAGTTTCATCATCATTTGTTCTGTGATATTGGTGATGTGCCATTCCTGAAAAGCACCTTCCTCTGTTACTTCCAGAATTTTCTAAGTGGTTGACGTTTTTATGCTGAGCTTTACTAATTACCACGAGCCAGGCAACAACAGCTACATCCCAAGTGCCACCTACTGCCATGACTGTGAGCTGCATGAGATTTTGGGCATTTTAGAATCTATACCAGTTATATCTTTAAAGGGTTTCATGACATTGTCAGTTGAATGGAGCCCGTTGATTGGCCTACTTTGAAAACAAATGAAGACCTCTGTTGTAATGAGTTAAAATGAATTTCTAGTCTCACAGGGTTGAAGGATCTTTGCTCACTTCTTGGCATAGCATATAGACAATATAATACAGCTAGTATTGAGACCAGTACCATGAGGTAAACATACCCGTCCATAGCTTCATGTCACATTCCTGACAGTTAACTGTTTTACCAGACAGGAGTGGACTGATTGCAGGGTCTGGTCCTGAGCTGGTCTAGGACAGATAACCTTTTAGTGGAGACTGTTTTTAGTCTCTCAGGAAGGTAGGGAAGCAGAGGGGCTAGGCAGTCCATAGTGGTCAGAGGCTTTCTCAGACCTCTTGATACTGGGGAAAGAGAAGCCTCCAGTTCTCCCTTCCAGAGTCTAGCTTTGTTTTTGTGTGGGGGGTGGGGTCAAGCCTGGAGGAGGAAGGCTTGCGTTCTAGTGTTCTTCCTTTTGTATTTAATGTCTGTCCCTCAGTAACATTGGCTTTGGGGTAACAGGCTGTGGGTCAGTCAAACCAGGGCAGTTGGATAGATAGGAAAAAAAAAAAAAAAAAAAAAAAAAAAAAACAGCTTAAGTTCCAGCTATGGAGGAAACTGATGAGAAACAGAGGACTGGAGTTTTCCTGATATCAGGACTTTGAATTCCAGTGTGTCTTCAAGCCAGCAGGCTAGGAATCAGCTCAGCGTTTCACTTACAATGTACATAATCATGCCTAGTGTCCAACAGAGATTTTTAAAACTATATTTAATGACAAAGCGATGAATTGTTTAGTGATCAGTGGTTCTTCCTTCTACTTAATGTCTTTGTGGAACCAGGAACTAGACTTGGTCCACAGAGTTTGTTTTACCTTTCTTCTCCTGTGGTTGGGACAGGTTTCCTGTGTCCTTGTGTTACAAGAGACCTAAATGCATCTTGCTAGGTATGCATGCTTACTAGGCCTACACGGAAGTCCACTTGGTACTGTGGCTCACCTCATGCCTCCCTGGGGTTTCTCTGTAACCCCAGATGGTCCATACTAGCAAGGTTGCCTGTGAGGAGCAGCCAGGGATGCCTCCCTTAGAAATGTTGTGCATCTTCACTGGTGGGGCCAAGCAAGCGCTCCTTCCTTGTTCCCTGCCTTCAGGTGTCCAACATTCTGGGGACCTGGTGGGCTTGGTTCATGGATCAGGTGTGAATAACCCCCCTCCAGTCAGGTCACTGAGGGTAAAACAGAACAGAAGGTGAGGAAACAGACTCCACACTCACATGATTATTCTTGTTTATTGAGGTCTGTTTGTTCTCAACGGGTGCTTTTTCCTCCAAGTAAACAGAGCAGGCGCAAATATCTATAATGAATAAATTTATTGTCTTACAAAAATCATTGTCTAGAAATATGGGAGTACAAGAAAAGATATTTGCAGTCAGGTGTCTGGTGGTCAACAGCCAGTACAATCCATACAGGGGAAATCAAAGATTCCAAACCCACGTGACAAATTCTTCCTAACAGATGTTAAAGCTTTTAACCCAAAAGGTCTGTGTTTTCAAGCACATTGCCAAGGATCGGGATTTGTCATTAACACTGATTTGCTGTCACTGAATGTTTGTTTATACTACTTACTAGAGAGGTACATGATATGAAGCACAGTCAAAACTTAATACATTAAGTTGTTATAGAGGCAAATAATATATTTAACATTGTCTTAGTACTGTAGTGTCTAAGGCACTTTCTGTAATGTCAGTTTGCTCAACTATCAACCAAAAACAGAATGCTAAGTGTTCATTGTAACACTGTCCAAAGGAAGGGAAAAGGAAAAATGAAGGATCACACCCACTGGCATGTCAACATTCAGGCAGATGGCATCTGTTCTTGAGGTCATGTAGCCTCATTGACAAACTTGGAACACACCTCCAACACAAAACCAACATTCCCGTTTTGGGCTCAAAGCAGTGGCTGAATTTGCAAGGTCAGCAGGAAGGTCTGGTAGTTTGGAGAGGACTGTGAGCATCCCAAGGGTCACTCCTGAATTGAGTGAATTGCTCACTCATCCCAGCAAGCCAGACACTTCTGGAGATCACCTAGAAGTCACTGTGATGCCTGCCACCTGGGGAGCCTTAGCTGTGTTGTAGCCACTGTCCTCTCTGTGTGCAGACAGGCCTGGGCCAAAGACTCTATCACATGAGATGGCGGGGACACCGTAAATTTGAGAGGCAGGGCCACCCCTTGGGAGATGGGCAGGGTAACCCCAAATTGATGCTGCTTCCCCAATCCAACCCACCCCTACTACGCCTCCAAAAGCCCCTTTCACAGTTTGCTCACTGAGACAGTGATCATTATTCAAAGGAAATGATACAAGCGAAGGTTTAGGTTCACAATGTCCTAAGAGACTGGATGTGGTTGAGGGGTCAGGGCCACATGAGCACAGAACTAAGGTACCTGTCAGGACGACAGAGCATGCAGAGCAACTGAGCAACCATCCTGGGGCCCCAGGCCCAGCGACTGGCAACAAGGGTCTAGAATTTGTTTCAAAAAGGGTTACCTCCTCTTAATGTGTCATAAAGTGGTCTCTTGATGAATATATGGAGAATAGATGCAACGATGAGACAGTCTTTAATACGCATGTCTGGTGGAGGTGTATATATAAAAAGGGGGAAACTGTACCTAGTCTGAAGCAGGACACAGTCTGCGCAGGCAGCAAAGCCTTAAGACATGGTTGATCTTCCTGTGAGTAATCCTGGAGCTTGCCATTCCCGAGTGCAGGGCTCAAGCAGGCTAGCGCTGGGTTGACTTCCGGCCTGCCCTCTGTGTCCCCTCCAGCCTCCTGTGTCTATTCTGACTGGGGTGGCTGCGTTTCATTGACATCACTGGTTTTACTCTCTGTGTCATCGTCGGATAGCTCCAGTGACGCACCCTCAATGTGTAGCTGGCGCCGGCCAGATCGGCTTGAAGAAAAGCTGATAGGGCCACCCCGCCTGGAAGAGAAATGCACAAGAACATGTGGCTGTTGGGTTGTTCAACCCAAGCCCCAGCCTGGGACATCAGCCTTGCAGGCGTGATGGGGGTGGTGCTCTACTTGGAAAGACCTCCGGTAGACATGGTAAGGAGCATGGATTAAGGTGAGGCTCCATCGCCCCACAGCCATCCTTGAAAAGGCCAGATAGCAAAACCTTAAGCTTTGCTTTTGTATTTTATAGTCCTTTAAAAAAACCAAGTCTCAGTTCACTGGCCACACAAAAGCAGGACACCGGTAGCCTTTGCCCACTGGATAGAGGCCCACCATATTGGTTCACTGGCTTTTCTGGGCAGTGTGTGTATACCTTTCACTCTGCTATGCTTTTTGATTCCTTCACTGTTCTGATTAGGAACAGTGATGTATCAGGGCTGATCAGGAGCTCTTAATCCTGATTGAGTGGAGGCGGTGTCCTCTTTCAGTGTGGATGGCTTGATGTGGACCAATACTAGGCCAGGCTGCAGATTTACATGTTGTACTGGTCTGGCTGACAGTGAGCGGGCCTGCCCCTCTGCTTTCCCCACTCATTACTACAAAGGTCGTACATAAATTGTGACTGCAGGGATTCCAGAGGAATTGACATGAGCCCCCACAGATCAAGTCTGCCAGCCACCATGTCCTCACTGAACACTCACCTAAGCCGGTTCTTGAGAGTGCTGACCTCACGGCTCAGGCCCTCATTGGCCTCAGTGGCATCGTCCAGTTCCCTTTGGAGTTTACGCCGAGATGCGTTGGCACGTGTAGCTTCCTCTTCAGCTTCCTCCAGCTGGCGTTTAAGCTGCTTCATCCTGGCATTGGCCTTCTCCATCTTGGGGGTTGCATGAATGAAAGGCAAACAGTGAACCTGTACCTGGAGGGTCTGCATGACTATGTGTGACATCTTATAGCACACGTTTCAGGGCTGGTCTAAGGCCCTTCTGTTTACCTTCACTTAGCAAAGCTAGTATTTAAAGAGCAAGCTGCACAATCAGGAACTCGGGTTTCTATAGAAGAACCAACCCAGTTTTCCATCTTCACACATGTGACTGATGGGGTTTGTGGACAAAGACACTGTCCAGATGCCTTCACCCCCATGAAGCCTGGCTGTTCCCCACAGCACACTGGATTCCAGCACAGCTACTCTTGGGAAGTGCAGTCTGCACCTGCCTCTTAAGACCCCACCAGTGGCTCCTTTGCTCCTAGACTATTTAGTGCCTCAAGGGTACAGCTGGCGAGCATGGAAGCAAAGGCCCTGAGGGTGTTCCTCTACCCAGTGTGCACAGAGACAGAAGGGGGAAGGCAATGGACAGGCTGCAGGTAAGGAGTGGTCTTGACCGGATCTCCTTGATCTCTTTTGGGATTACAGGCATGTATGGGTGACCAGCATTGTGAGTCTATTCGGGTGTGTGCGTGTGGGCATATGCTCTTCATATACCCCCAGTTTCTGCTGTTTACCATCTACTCCATCCAGTGTCCTGGCTGCTGACTGTAAAACTGGAAAGTAAAACTGGAAGAAACGTGTTTGCATGTGAAGCACTTTAGTGGAGGAAGCTGAATATCACTTTAAAATCCAGGCCAGGGCTCACACCTCACCAATTAAGAGTTTTCAAAAATGTTTTCTTAATTCTGACTTGTTTGTTGAGGCATTTCTAGCATGGTGGCCTTCACCCTACATGTGTTTCCCCTACCTGTTCTTTATACTGATCCGCATGTCGCCGCTCATCTTCAACCTGCATGAAGATTTCTTTCAGTTTCTTCTCTGTTCGACGGACTAGTTTGTTGGCAGCTGCTCGTTCCCTGTCAAAAATGACCACAGTGGTTTTAAGTCTTGAAATTAATTTTAAATAGGGAAATATTTTTGAAGTTATTTTTCTTTGGAAAATGATGCATATTGGAATGCCTTTTTAGATCCCCCAGAAGCCTGAAACAGGGATTGCCTTTCAGTGCAACACCCCATTTGTTCCTATGCACATAGGTATTGAGTGTCCTGAGTAGCAAGTCACATGCACCTATTAATCTAAACAAACTTATGGTCACTTAAAAAGGAAAGGAAAAGCAGCCAGCAGTGGTGGTTCACGCCACCTAATTTATGAAGTGATTATCTCAAACTTAGAATTTACGTACTACTGACTGTAATGAAAACACCAAATCCCACACAACACTCATAGTGAAATAAATCACCACACCCAGTCCCCTGGGGCTGCTGCCCATTGAGAGGTGACTTAACATGGAGGGTCCCTGCAAAGTTGCTTCCTCCTACCTTGCTCTGCTCTGGCTCTAGTGGGGTCAGGTGAAAGGGCAAGTTAAAACCTGTCAGTAAAAGCCTTAACCACATCTCACAGGTTATGTTGGCAAACACTCCTGCCTTTGGAGTGGGAATGCAATTCTGGGATTGTAGGGTAGGGAGGGGGCTGGACTGTTAACACAGGTCCCCCATTTCTGGGTCTCATGCTCCCTAACAAGGTGGGTGTGTGGGCTGCTGTAGCCCTCCCTGGCAGGTAAAAGTGCTGTAGCCGGCTGTTTGTGCTGCCCTGTGCATCACTCAGTTTTCACCAGGCTTTATTGGTGTGGCACTGACTGTGTGGGAGGGAAATGCTGTGCTGTTTGCAGTCCCCTCTGTGCTGGTGCTGGGAAGTCACAGGGCAACAGGATGGCTTCCAGCAGGGACCAGGCAGAGCCCTAGCCTCTGAGCTCTTCCCTCACAGCTCAAGAATACCTCCTATGCAGGCTGTACCGTGTTACCACGTCCCCTGTACTGGGCACTATGTAGGGGCAGATGTGTGTCATGATATGGCCTGGAGCCCTGTTGGTCTACAGCAAACAATGAAGGTAGTCTGAGGCCCCCAAGAGCATCTCACTTGGCTTCCTGCTCCAGCTGCTCCTCCAGTTGCCCAATCTTGGCTTCCAGGGCAGAGATAGTAGCCTTGAACTTGGACTTGACAGCCCCTTCTAGCTCCTGCAGCTTGGCCTTCAGTTCCTTGTTTTGTCGCTCCAGCTGTTGACGGGCGTTGTCACTCTTCTGGGCAGCACTGCGTTCTGCTGCCAACTCAGTGTTCAGTGTGTCCACCTACAAGAGGAGAGATGGTTCAGATAACCTGTGTAGAGAGGCAGTACAACTGCTCCCAGGGGACAGGCCGCATGGTACCTGTAAAGTGGTCTTGCGGAATCGGTCATTGAGCAGCTCCATGTTGCTCTGCTCCTCCTCCAGCTCCTCCTCCAACTGTGCGATCCGAGCCTCCAGGCGCCGCTTCTCATCCAGCAGGGCAGACCTATACATAGGAAGGAGCATCAGCACAGAGCGGCACAGCATGGGAACCGTGAGGTCACTATGACCTGAGCACGCGTCAGATTGCTACTCTCCCCACACCTACCCCTGATCCATGGACAAGCCCTGCCCTCGCCCAGTTCTCTTCCTTGCCCGTATCTGTCTTCCTGGTCCCGGCACTGCCTCTGAACCACTGTGGTGACTCCCCAGTGACCTTGCTGCTACCTCTGCCTCCAGAATGCAGCCAGGATCTTAGATGAGACTGTGTAATCCCTGGCACAAATTGTCATGATGTTCCAGGACTCCCAAGGAGAAAGTAACTTAACTGGGCCAAAGAAATGATTAAAAATCCAAACAAACAAAAAATTTCAGAGGAAGGTTACAAGCAAGTTACTTGTAACCAAGCCAGTGAATCTGAAAGTGAAGCGCCAGTCCAGTGCAGTCTATGGATGGCTGCTGTGTGTGAGGCCACTGGGACTGGCAGAGGTGTCTGTCTGCACACGTGTGTGTCGTGTGTGATGGGCAGTGCCTGTGTCTAACCAGACCTGAACAGATAAGCCCACTTCACACTTAGATGTCAGGTGACTGTCGGCAGCCTTTGTGAGCACACATGCTTGAGGGCATGGAGGGGGTAGGCTGAGTGCCAACACTTCCTAGACACCTGCCCTTCGGCTTGCTGCCCAGAGACTCACTTGCCAGAGGCGCTGTTGGCGATCTCATCAGCCAGCTCATCTCGCTCCTGCTCTGCGTGTCTGCGGGCTCGCTCAGACGAGGCCAGCTCCTAAATGAGTTTACTGAGTTAGAGCCTGTCATTGTCACTTCCTCTCATGCGCCAGTCATGGCTCTCCACACACTGCAGTCTACAGGAAAGGGCTGGCTAAGTGCTGAGGTGAGACGTGCTACCAGATTCTAAACAAACCCAGGAAGTTTCACTGTCGCTTGTGTGGCCTGGCTATATTCTAGAATTGCCTGTTCTTTACTATTACGGAGCACAAACACCTTGAGCCCCATGGAAACCACACCATCATAGCATGTTCTAGGCCTTGGGGCTACTGACCATGGTGTGCTGAACTAGAAAGCAACTAAGTACTTGGAAATGTCAGCCACACTTTTAAAGTAGTGGATTAAAGAAGCCATTAATAGAAATTAGAAAAATACAGAATTAAGTGACAGTGAAATCACCCTGTATCATAATAAGGGGGCAAAGCAAAGCTAGAACTTTAGAGGCAAGTGTGTGTCTTTTGTGTGACTCTTTAGACAAGAGTCTCCAAGTCTCCAAGCTCAGGAGTCATCCATTCAGTGGCAGAGTGTGTGTTCTTAGCGTGCTGGAGACCTTGGTTTACTCCCTGGTGCACACACATACACATCGTGCAGGAAGAGAAAAATAACCCAAGGGAAATAAACACAAAAGGCCATAAAATGGAAAACATGAAAGGACCAAAAGCCGGTGTGCAGGGTAAACCCAGGCTCTGCCCCATGTTTGGTCCAGTTTTTAGTTTTTTTTTTAATCCTGCTGCCCAAAGAATGCCTTTTCTCATCAGCTCCTCCTGACTGACAGTTTTCCCCAGCTGCTGTATGCCTACCTGTACTGGGGTTTTCTTATATGAACTGTTGTCATGGCAGTTTAGGCTCACTATCTTTTGAGGAGATCTTGAAAATTTATACAGAATAATACACTCAAGGGTGACTTATTACATGGGCAGAATTCTATACTACCTGCTACTTATGGAGACCTTAGGAAAAGATGAATTTAATTGCTCTGCTCCAGAACTGAATGAAGCACATGTCTCTTACAGTAAAAGAACAGTACTTCTGTGTGAAAAAGCAACCCTACTGGGCAGGGCTAACTCCATGCTTCATTAAATAATCTCCTCTTTCTTTGGGGGGGGGGGGGGAGAGGCAACCTCTAGAAGGCTGTGGAAAAGTTACTAATCAGCCATCTTGCCTTTAGCGGGTAGAGGAATATACATGCGTGCTGGCACCTGAGCTGAACTGAAATCACACTATGAAGGTGATAAAATGCACTTCATCTGATCTCAGAGTGCCTCTAAGGACAAACATTTGCTAACACATGGACGACCATACAGACATACCTCCTGCAACTGGAGGATTTCTGCTTCTAGACTCTTCAGTTTCTTTTCACTCTCTTTGGATTGAGCAAAAATCTCATCTCTGGATGCACGAGCCTCTTCTAGTTCACGCTGGTAATCCTTCATCTGAGCCTGAGTGAGGTTAGAGAGCAAAGTCGTTGAGGGAGTAGTTTTCATTCTCTGTATTGTTTTATCTTAAAAAGCACAAAGTAATGAAGCTACCACAGGATCACAGCCCGAGATCCCTTGTGAATACCGTGTAAAACCCTCACCAGGAGCAAACACACCACGACCAAGTAGGTCACCTGCTGTGTGACAAGCACAATGTCAGTTCTGTCTCTCCGAAGCAAATCCAATAGCCAAGGGGACAACAGCTTAGTAATACAGTTGGGTGCTCCCTCTCCCTCTCCCTGTCTCTCTCTCTCTTCTCTCAGCTTCAGTTTCATCTTGTGTGAAAACCACATGCTTGGTCCTAGTAAGGCCACATGACACAAAAATTGGGGCCTGCCACACTGCTACACCCACCTGAAGCTTGCGAAGCTGCTTGATCACTTCATCTCGGGCTTTGTTGGCAGCCTCGATCTGAGCCTCCAGGTCCTTCAGGTCTATCTCCATCTTCTTCTTTGAGGCCACAGCAAGCGCCCGCTGTTTCCGCTCGTCCTCCAGTTCTGCCTCGAGCTCCCGTACCTGAAGGACAGTGCTAGGTTATGTTACAGTGGCTACTTTGGCAACTACAGCTTGTCACTCCGTAGAGGTTCCTGTCACCAAGCAGTCCCTATGTATTACTAATGGAAAAGCCGAGGGCTGAATTGAGTAGGCCATGCCTACTGGAGGCGACCTGAAGACCCAAGAAGGAAAACCTTAGACCCAATGTTTAGGTGACTCGAGAGACAGCAGGCATGAGGTAATGATTTAATAAGTGGGATAGATGCAGAGGGTGCAGGGTGGCAGGCCAGGGGACAGAGGAGCACCAGCTATAGGCAGCTAGGCCTGTTCAGTGCTGACTTGTGTTTGGCAAACCTGGGATTCAGGCTCACTCAGGTTTTGGGCCTCAGACCCAGGCAGAAGCCCATTGATATACCAGCAAAGAGGAGGCTAGCAGCTGTGCAGCAGAAAAGGGGCAACGAGGAGCTATAGAGAACGTGGATGGAGGAGGAGGAGATGAATACAAGATGAACATGAGCTGGAGGGTAGGGCAACACATCCCGTGGTCACCCCTTCAGGGGCTTTCTTGAAGCTTTAACTATACCACAGGATGGACAGTACTAGTTACTTGTACCTTGTGTGGAGCAGAGACAAAAATGTTCTTTATCATTTTAATCCGGTCCTAATGCTACATCACTAACAACAAATGGAAAATGTCCACACAGGGAACCATTGAGATGGGAGTTGGGTCAGCTTTTGAGTTCCTGGGGCTGTCCCTGCTTTCCCATTCATTCAGAAGTACCCAGGATCCTGCAGTAGGGATCTGAGCAAATCACTTGTCGTGAACTGCGGAGTGACTGGCAAGAACTGCAATGGAAACCCTGCCCCATGTGGGAAGAGAGATGCTTTCTGGGTGACATCAAGAACGGGGTCCTTTCCAAAGGGAGACCAGGGCTTCTGTTGCACCTCCTTCTACAGAAGACAAGGTCGGGGGAGGAGCAGGACAGTGGGTTCCACCACGGTGAGTCTCACCACTGTGACTGCATCCAGCGTAACAGGAGGCTCCTTAGGTGTAGTAACTGCCCCGAACTTTCTCAAGTGTGGTTTCAAATATATCTACCAATTCCTGCATGACTGTCCTCAAGAGTTAGAGCCCGAAGTCCTGTGTGGGTTGGACTTGAGGACTCATGTCTAGAACAGCATGAAGGGATGGGGCTGGGAAGGTTGTCTCCACAGGACGGACGGACAGCCTTCAGCTAGGCTGATGACAAGTGGTGAGGTCCCTGCCCATGCTGGGAAGGTGAGAGCATGTGCACAGTTCCCCCAGTACAGCCCAGGCCGCAAGATGACACACTGGACCAGCTCTTACTACCCCACAGAAATGGCGACATCAGATATGTGGGGTTAGTTCACCAAGTTTGTGTAGCTTACTCAGCAATAAAGAACCAATCAAGTTAATGTTAATGAAACAAAACCAGTAAAATAAAATTAAATATAAATCAAGACTTGTTCCCATGAACTCCAAGGGACATTTAAAATATCCAAAATTAGTTTTCAAAGAAACTTTTCACACACACACGATTCTTTATAAGACTTAAAAATCATAATTTTTTTTTTAAATAAGTTTAAAAAATTATCAACCCCTTTCCCTCATGAAGAACCCTTTAAGGGCAGGTGATATAGCTCAGTGCCTAGTGTGTCCAAGGTCATGGATTTGATCACATCCCACCAGGGGGTGTGTGTGTGTGTGTGTGTGTGTGTGTGTGTGTGTGTGTGTGTCTGTCTGTCTGTCTGTCTGTCAGTCATCTGAGATTTACGGAGCCTTGGGACCTGAGTGGTAAAGATCTGTAGCATGCCTCTATCTGCTGAGTAATTCCCTCCCTCTCCCTATACCTGAGTACCTTGAATGTTTTCCTCTGACAGATGGCCTAACTAAGCAGCAATGACATTGGAGAGAGAGAAAATCTAAACCAGTGACAGCCAAGTCCTTCAATAGCCAATGTTTTTCTCCAGCTAATGCTTCCCAGCATGAACTACAGGGCTGACAGCTGGGCCAGCTATCAGAACACACAAGCCACACCTGAAGGCCACACCTCCCTCAACCCACCTGCTTAAGCAGCAGCCGCTTCTTTTCTTCATTCTGCTCATCTCTGGTTTGCAGGTCTCTCTCAAACTGGGCCTTCATGGCCTGCATGTTGACCTCCAGGCGGAGCTTGGCATCCTCAGTAGCCTGGAGCTCATCCTCTAGCTCCTCCAGCTGGGTCCTCATTTCCTCCACCTGCTGCTCCAAGGCCCGCTTGGATTTCTCAAGCTCGTGGACCTAAGTCACAGGAAGCATCAGAATTGGTGAGCAGAGGCTGCGGTTCTTCTGTTCAGTGACCTGACTTAAAATTGCAGTTTTTGACTTCTGTGTTCACACGTGTTAAACTCAGCCATTGTGTGTGACAGACAGCTCTGATGCTAAGGGGTCAGTGAATCAGTGTGCTGGGGGCACCTGCCTGCTGTGTGAGGCCACAAGAGCCTCAGAGGAGACCGCCCATACTGGAAAGATGGAGGAGTCAGTCTGAAAATCAGGGCATGGCCACAGGACACTGTTCCCTGAAGAGTGTCCCCCACAGACACGAGCCTACTGAGTGCTCTACCCCCTGTCCCAGCTGACCTGCTCAACCTCCTGAAGCAGACCTAAGCACTGTCACAGATTCCCTTTGGGGTCCATGGTCATGTTAGCTTTCACAGGGGTGAACAGAGGAAGACCTAGGAAGTAGCATTTGGTAACTGAGCAGTCACAAAAACCACAAGAATGTATGAGTGTTGGTTATGGCAGAGAAAATGACTATGGAACCACTACTGCATTTCTCTTCACTTTTACAGGGTTGTATCTACTCTGGCTAGACTCTTCTTGGTCATGGAGCTGTAATGCAGAAGGCCCAGCAGGACAAGGGTGGTCTTCTATCATCTAGTGTGGTCAGATGGCCCACACCTCATGCAGATGACACCTGCTCTTTTCAGTAGGCTTCATACTTTCCAAAGCCAACAAAACAGGCAAGTGCAGGTGACAAGTGCACGTGATGATGGCACAAGGAACATCAGAGTAAGGATGGAAGCTGGCAGAGCCAGGAGGGAGGGCACAGGGCAGGGAACAAGCATAGGGAATCTTGGGGAAAGCACACATGGTAGAACACACAGAAACTTCTAAGCACACCAGCCTCAGAGGGAAGGCCGGGTGGGAGCGGGGAAATGTGCTTCAGTGCCCACAAACCTCCATCTCCTAGGGGACCATGGGGTATTTGATAACTACTGGTGATGCAGACTTGAAATCCCCTTGTTGAGAGATGCCTTTGCCATGAGGGATTGGGGCAGGGAGGGCCAGGGTGAGGATAAAAATCTGGACACCTGCTAGGGTTGCTGCAAGAATCTACATCTGGGGGAGGGGGCTGGGAAGATGGCTTCAGCAGTAAAGAGCACTGACTGCTTTTACCAGAGGACCTGGATTCAATTTACAGCCCATAACCACCCGTAATTCTAGTCCCAAGGCATCTAGTGCCCTCTTTTGCCTTCGAGGGCAAAAGGCATGTACATGGCCTGCACAGAGACATATATGCAGACAGTATACTCATACATAAAATAAATAGATTAAATAAAAAAAAGGATTCTGCATGTATGTTGGCCCAGATGAGAAAACAGATTGGCCTCCATCTGCCTACAGGACACGGCCTTGCTGTGTGGTTCTTTGTGTCTTGCGGCCATGCACAACTTACATTCTTCCCCACGTCGTCTTTGGAGCTCATCAGGTCCTCCATGTCTGCTCGGAGCTGCTTGTTTTGCCTCTCGAATTCCTCCTTGGCCTCCAAGGCTTCTTCCAGAGCCCGTGCCAGGGAGAGAGCTTTGGTTTCTTTCTCTCTGGCCTCAGCTTCAGCCCGGTCCCGCTCTTCTGCATAGCGAGCAGAGATGCTCTTCTCTTCCGCCAACAGCTGTGCAAGAGCAGACGGGCACAGTGAAAACGCCACTCACTAAAGGCACAGGCTTGCTCACCCCAAGAATACCACCAGGCTGACCATCCCCACATGGCCTTGGAAAGCTGTTGAGCCAACAATGCTACACATGGAAGATTCTACACTTGCCTTCATGTAATAAGCCACAGTCAAAACACAGTGTATAGGCCATAACTATGGGCTTCTGTGAAACAATAATGAATTTCAGGTTGACCCTTGAGTGCTGTCCACAGAGTATCATTTTATAGACACGCATGTTCCCAGATGAGACACTCTCAAGCCTGTGCTTGTCCCAAAAACCCTGCATGGTAGCTATTCCCCTGTGCAGGGTTCATGGGCCTTCTGCTTTCTGAACACTATCAGTATGTACCACTTTTAAATAAGAAAAGATTTTCTTAAACCAACACCAAAGTGACAGCTTCTTCAGGATGTGGGGGTCTCAGGGGCTGGGACACAGGTGCAGTCTCTGTCACCTGATCGAACTTCTTCTGTTTCTTCTCCAAGTTGGAGACGATCTGGCGCTGGTGGTCCAGGTCCACCGTCAGGTCGTCAAGTTCCTGCTGCAGCCGGTTCTTAGTCTTCTCCAGCTTGTCATACGCTAGGACCTTCTCCTCCAGCCGCTGGCTCAGTGTCTCCACGTCCTTAAGCAACTTCTTCTTGGCTTCTTCCAAACTCTCAATTGTCCCCAGGTCATCGTCCACTTTCTTCTTGGTGTCAGCCAACTAGGTTTTGGGTAAGGAAAAACAGGGTGGGTGTAAGAGCTCGTCTCACTTTTGCATTTCAGGAATGGAAACTCTGGTTTCCAGTATTATAAACCAATCCCAACAGGTGAACCCTGGAAAAGGAGCCCTTAGCTAAGCTGTAAAATGGAGCCCAGCTGAGGCCACAGTTCTGTCTTCAAAGGGTGTGACTTAACGAAGAGGACATCAGCCTTTGGCTGGGTCAAAGAAAAAAAAGCACAAGGAGCTTAATTTAGTGCAGCCTAATTAACTGCCCCAAATGCAGGGACAGAGCCCCACCCGGTCGGCCGGTCACCGCTCGTGGCACACATCTAGGACACCACTGCTCCTGAAAAGGACACACACCTGGGACTGCAGGGCCAACACCTGCTTTTCTAGGTTCTTCCTAGCCTCCTCCTCCTCCTCTTGCTGCTCCTGAAGGCTGTTCTTCTCCTCCTCCAGCTGCCGGATCCGACTGCTCAGGTTCAGTTTCTGGCGAGTCTCCTCCTGAAGGAGCTCCTGTGTGTGTAAGAGGGAGTGAAGGTTATCTCCATCATCAACCCTGAGTCCCTCCAGAGACCAAAAGAAAATAAAGCTCTCCTGGCAGTTATGTCATAAAAGGAAGTTCCTCTGGGGACAAGAATACCTAGTGACACTAATAAACACACAAGACCATTTTGTAACCATCTGCAAGGCAAACCCCACTCAAAGGCCATGCTGGCCCAGGCCACACCACTGTGCTGTCCACACGCCAGTGTCAGTCCCTGCCACAGTCTCCTCTGTACTCCCCTGCCCCGGTCCCAGCATTCGGAAGGCATTTCTCGCTGATCACTCTGTCACACTTTCTATTTTCAGCGTGACTGCTTCCCCAAAATGCAGATGCAAAGATGTCTTTGTGCTTTTAGACATTTTAGAAATGTTACAGCATTTCTAAAGCTGTGACAGGGCTCTTGCCTCCTTTCGTCTTACTGACGAGGCTGTGCCTTGCCACTGGGTGCTGAACTTGTTATTCTGCTCTCCATCTGAGACGTTTACCCCTCTATCCTGAGCCCCTCATCTGAAACCCCGAAACAACGTTAGTCTCATCAGCTGCTCTATCACAGAAATGCATTCGTCAGATGTCCTTGGCACACATGTAACATTCTGACAGAATTTCATCCTATCAATTGGCCAAAAGTTCTGTGTTTGAAAATCTAGCCCATACCCTCTCCATGCCTTGCCAGAATACCTGTGTGTCCTGTAGTTGAGACTCGAGACCAGCTGCATCCTTAGCAAATTTGATACCTTTTTTCTCGGCTTCTTCCAGAAGGGTTGAGACGTTATCCAGCTCATTCTGCAAGGAGGTGAGGATGAGATTCAGTTCCACAGTGAGAAAATGACCTAACACCACAGCTGCCAGAGAACATGGAGCAGAGCATGTGTATGCAAGTGTGTGCTGCTTTTGTGTGTGTGTGTATGTGTGTGTGTGTGTATGTGTGTGTGTGTGAGTGTGTGTATGAGAGAGAGACAGACTTTAACTAGCACACTCAAGGAATGCTACTCAAGGAGTTGTGCTAAGACCTGCTCCACAACCTCAGCACAGTCTCCCACTGAATGGGCAGGGGCACTCTGATGTCATAACCACGAACAGACAAAAGAATAAAACCACATCTGTTGGAAGTCACTGCAGTTGCTGTGTGAAGAACCACTTTGGGCCAGAAGACGTTTTCTTTTGTGTTAATCTACATTAGGCACATACTACGGGCACATAGAATTTGCATTCTTACAGAACTTGAAGTATGATTTTAGAGACTCAAAACTAATACTAGTAATCATCCCAAAATTCTTCCAGCTTTTAAAATCAGGTATATAATATGGTATTTCCCCCCTTTCCTCCTCAATAAAAGATGTCTCCAAAAGGGGCCAGAGAGATAGCTCAGCGGGTAAAATCACCCACTGCTTTTCTGGAAAGGTCTGTGTTCGGTTCCCAGCACCCACATGGTACTCACAATGGGCTGTCTGTAACTCCAGTCCTATGTAGGGGAGCCAGTGCCCTCCTCTGGTCTTGGTGGGAATCAGGCACAGAAATGGCTGTGCACATACATATAAAATTAAAAGCTTAAAAACATTTTCTAAAAGGAGAAGAAAAAGTCTCCATGGTCTAAGATGTCTTCTTACTTTATTTTTTGTGAGTGCTGTGGATACGGCAGGGACTCCGAAGAGATGGCAGGCCACCCTCGTCCTCATTTGTCTTTTGGTTGTGCCATCGTAGAGGAAGTATATGGAGGACACATTTGCATACCTAACCAGACAACCATGCTTCTCTTTTCACTTTTTAGAGATGCCCTTAGAGAACTTGTCTTTCACTGCTCTTGGGTACAGGGGCTGAGGAAGAGCTCTGGGGTTAAGAACCCCTTCTACCCGAGCCACAAAAAAGGCCAAAGAGCAGGCCCTTAGCTTCCATGGCCTTCATCTTTCTTACCTAGGGAGTGGAGCTGGGTGAAGAAGAAATGTGGGAAGCACCTACGTCCACAGTAGCCTGGTGCTTCCCAGGAAACAACCTATGTCACTCTGCCATGCAGAGTTCAGAATACCATCTCTAACATCTCCCTTTCAAGAAAACCTTCAGAGAGCCGTCAGAGCCCACACATGCAGGCACACACAGCTATTTGTACACAGCAGGCCAGAGGCAGCTCTCCTTAAAGGCCTGCTTGTGACATCCCTGGCCAGGATGCAGAAAAGAATTCCCTAAAAGATAAGCATAGCACACTTGCTTAGACTATCTGGGCGGGTGAGCACCTATTGTCCTCCCAGGCCGAGTACCTACAGGACACATGTCAGCAGTGACCCACCACTTGCTGAGTGTCTGATGGGATTCCTGAAGGGTGACACTTGACACAATGTCGCCACCCTGCTGGAGGGACTCAGTGCACACTGTGGGGCTGGGCTGGAGGTTCCCCAGATACACACAGCTGGCCACCACAAGGTCTGTTAGCTCCAGCTTCCTTCCCTGTCCTGTGTTCCCTCCCTGGAGCAAACCACTGGACCACTGGTTTCTGTGTTTTGTTCATGCAGCAGCAGTAGCAGCAACCAAAGCCCCATCTGAAAGTCGCTTAACTGGCTGCGCTGATGTCCATCATTAGACATCGAAGGGGACCCTGATCTGTTGTTCACACACATCTTTACAGCCAGCAGCTTTAAGCTGAGCCTGTGTGTGGCTTATTTCTCTAGGGTAAACGAAAAAGACACTGATTTTGGGGGCCCCAGAAGTATTCAGTTTTAGGGCTTACAATGCACAACTATCAAAGTAGGAAAAAGAAGCTGTATCAGTTTATACTTTAAACACTCGTGTGTAAAGCCAGGGTGCTCTTGTTACTAGAGTAACAGGGAAGGCGAAAGTGTGCTTAAGAACACTCACCTTCAGCCACAATTCACAGCCGCATCAGGCAGGACTAAACAACTCACACACACACTCGAGCTGCCATATTTAACTGTGATGACACTTTCCAGGTACCTAATACAACACGGCAGGCTCCAGCTTACCTGTAGCTTGTTTGCTTTCTCAGCCAGCTCTACCCTGAGCCTGTCACCTTCTGACACCTTGGCATGGAGCTCCTGGACCTGGGCATCCAGTTTCTTCCTCTTGTGCTCTGACTCAGCCTTGACCTGCTGGAGCACCTTCACCTCACACGCCAGCTCCTTGTTGTCCGTCTCCAGGCCCTGCTTGTTCTTCTCTAAATTGGCTTTGAACTAGGAGAGGGAGAAGAACTCTTCAGGGTCTGTCTTACAACACTCCGCAAAAATCCCTGTGTGTGTCTGCAGAATTCCAGAGGCCCACAATGAGCCTACAATCGTGTGCTGGAGGACTGCCTGAAAACACCCACTGGCCCGAGCAGCCAGGGCTCTGGATGGGGAACACCTTGCGAGTTGTTGGGACACTAATTATGGATTACAAGGCACTCATCGTACTGTGTAATTCTTGTCCATATAGGGCAGAGGGAATGAACTATGTGCACTCCCTAACAAGTTGTCAGTTAAAACGTTTTTCCAAACACTAACCTGGGTTTGAAACAGGGTTGGGTCTCTCTGAGCAGGGCTGAGGCTTGAGATGACGCTACCCATAGCTCTGCGGCCATACAAGTTGGCTTTAATCTGCCTTTGCACTCATGAGCTGGGGGACCCTAGCTCATGCTAATGAGCCCCAGCTTCCTTATTCTTTAAATGACAATGACAGGTTACTTTACAGTGACTCAGCAGAGACTGGCCCTCACTTAACCACTGACACGATGGCCCTGGACACTGAAGGGCAGCCTGTAACTAACTAGAAACGAGAGAGGAGAGGAGAGGCAGCCCCGCGGCGGGTGGGCGGGCAGCGTGTGGGGAAGAATGAGGCGGGGATGAGGCTGAGGGGAGCACGGGGAGGAATGAAAACAGTGCAAGTGTGGAAGGCAGAGGGAGGAGCTGACAGCCGTGCAGTGGCTGCTGGCCTCCGCTGAGGGGACCGACCAGCGGAGTGCTGCTGGGGCTGGACCAGCATCATGACTAGATGAACAGACTAGGTCTGTCTGGGAGGATGGGATTTTCACAGGGCCCCTTACCCTCTTAGCCTGTTCCAGCTGCTCGGAAAGCTCCTCCAGTGCCGTGGCGTGCCTCTGTCTCATGTCCTGGATCTGAGCTTCGTGGTTCTTAGTTTCGTCCTCGAGAGCCTTTTTCAGCTCCGCTACTTCCTGCTCACGTTTTGTGCTAGGAACACATTTTAGAGCATGAAGATCAGAAATGGTAACCGGTTAAATTAAAATGTATTTACTACTCGCTGTTTGAGCTTAGTGTAAACCTTATGGCAAGTCCTTTGACAGACACCAGACATGCTGTTTCCAGTAAGTGGGCATGTTCATTACCATGGCATCAGAAATCCTTCTAGAAACAGGGTAACTTGCCCTCCATGTTGACTTAGAATCATTATTCACTGTGATATATGTAAGGATTATCAAGTCCTTTTGTGCCGTCTGGCCTCACTTGTATGCAGGTCAGGAACCATTAAAACGTGTGAAGCTGCCTGCCTCAGTCTGAAGTCAATGGATCCAGAGGTTTGAGCAGCTAAGGTTATGAAAGTGGATGAGGACCCTGCACCATACCATAAGCAAGCAAGCCTCTTTCTGACCATCTTTGTGAAGCAGCTACAGGGAACTAATGTCTGTCCTTCAGCTGTAGCTGGTGAGGGGCAGGCAGGACCAGCTCTTCTACCTGCTGCAGGTGGAAGGTGGGGGGGGGCTCTTTCTCTAGCCCACGCTGCTGCATGACTGATGAGTAGTGGGGCCAGCTCTCCCACACCCATGCCCTCAGGGCTGGCTCATGTGTCAACCTGAATGTCATGCTCAAGTGCATGGCTTAAAGCCCGAAACCAGGAATTGCAGTAGAGCTGTGGTAGAGCTCTTGCCTGTGACGCGGGAGGCCCTTGAACTACTCACCTCTCTGCACTGAAACCAGTAAGGTGAACCCACTCCTGCTGAGACCTACATTAGCATGTCTCGATTGTAATGACTATGATGCCCCACAGTCATGCTGAAGGGCATCTCTGGAAGACTTGCTGTTTGCTTTCAGACACATAACCCACTGGCGAGCTGAGACCACAGGGCAGAGGTCACTGCCAAGAAGGGAGTGTCAGCTCTGAGGTTAAATGTAGTCTAAACAGCCAGGTGGTGGTGGCCAACACCTTTAATTCCAGAACTTGGGAGGCAGAGGCAGGTGGATCTTTGTGAGTTTGAGGCCAGCCTGGGCTGGCTACAGAGTAAGAGCCAGGATAGGCTCCAAAGCTACATAGAGAAACCCTGTCTCACCCCCTACCCCTCCCAAAACAAAACAAAACAAAAAACAAACAAACAAACAAAAAAACAACAAGTAGTCTAAACAGAGGAGTCACCGAAGCCCAGTTCACAAGTCCTTGGATACTTGGTCTGGCCTATTCTGAGCTAGCCCTCAGACTTCCAGCAAACCCTTCAGCTCATCACCCCTTCAGCCCCATCCAAACTGGTCTCTACGTGGATCCAAAAGTTGCAGAACTCTTTAGCTCCTGTCTCCCCCAGACCCAACCACCCCACTCCATGTGGATTTCCAGCACGGGAGAGAATCCCAGAGGACCACAATTCACTGGCAGGGGCCAGTGAGCACGCTGTCAGGCCTCAGTGAGAACACAGCACCCTCCCACCGGCGGCAGGAGAGCCAAGGCCAGGCCTGGTGTGTGCCACCACTGAGCACACGCTGGTTTTGGTAAATGTGGACACATCATTTCACGTTTTTTAACATAGAATTTCTGTCTTGCCCAGGCTAGTTTCAAACTTGTGACACCTCTCTTGTTTCAGTCAGCCAGGTACTTGGAAGTACATGTGTGACCAGCCATACCCAGTACAGTTTTATCTTCTCGAGAGATGATAAGAGAAAGGATCAGAGTTGTGGTTAAAAGCCCATCTAAGGGCCACAAACCTGAGTCTGTGGTTAAGAGTGTATACTGCTCTTGCGATGTCCTTTTTGAGTTCGGTTCCCAGCTCCTCCACCCTGTGGCTCATAACTGCCCTGTAAATTCAGTTCTAGGGGATCTGAACATCTGGGTCTTTAGGCATCTGCACATCTGCACCCATGGGCACATACCTCAACCCCCATTAAAATAAAAATAAAAAGGCCTTTTGAGTGGATACCCCTGCAAATTTAGACTTTTATAAAGCAGAACCTTTGAAAAGCAAGCTAGAACTATACATTCTACTGTACATTCATGGCCCAAATCCTGGGTGATGTGTTGGGCTGGCTGCTAGTGTCTTTACCGAGTGCTCCCAAAGCCCCCGTCTGACCTTGGACTCACTGTTCTTTCTCCACAGCCACCCTGATATCTGTTATTTTCCCCAGGCCTGGTTCCTGGACAATGAGTAGATTGAGATGTCACATCCTAACCCTCCTAGGAATGGGGAGAATGCTGTTTTTCAGCACACTAATTGTCTCTTCTGGGTGCAGGGTACCATTCCTATTTCTCCTGATTCCTGTATTCCGAAACGACCCCTTGACTCCACTTTATCCAACTTTGCAGTGTCATACTGGGGCAATCTTCCATCCCCACCTCCCAGAGCCACTGGCAGGGTGTGGGTGTGCACGCTTGCATAACAAGCTGAATCACTGGCCTAGGCAGCGTGGGTTCCCCTCTGCCTGGATTCAGGGTTCCTGGAAGGCGCAGCATCAAGTAAGAGGCAAAACCAGCAAGGTGGACAGTGTCCGGACAGGCTCACAGAGGACATCTACACGCCAGGGCCCTGCCTAACCTGAGTTGTGATTTTTTCCCCCTTCATTTCTCAAGAAAGTTTCTCTGTGTAACAGTCCTAGCTGTCCTGGAACTTGCTCTGTAGACCAGGCTGGCCTTGAACTCAGAGATCCACCTGCCTCTGCCTCCCAAGTGCTAGGATTAAAGGTGTGTGCCACCAATGCCCAGGTGACTTGTGACTTTCTATGGGGTGATAATTATAGGTTCCTACCTGTGAACCTTTTCAGGCTGTATCTACCTATGCATGTGGGTGTAGCCCCTGCCTGCCCACCCCACCGTCTAGTACACTCATGCCCTGGGGGAGGAGACACCGTCTAGTACACACTCATGCTTGAGCCTGTTCTCACTCTCCTTTTTTCTTTAGTGTTGAGGATTGAACCCAGGGCCTTTGCTTGCTCAGCAAGCACTCTTCCTGTGAGCTTCCTCTCTAGGCTTTTCATCTGTTTGGACCCTCTCCTCCTCATCTGCCTGCAGGTGCCAGGCCATTCCATCACCTTTCTGTGTCTACCTCACCTTTCCTCTGGTCCTGTCTCTTGTCCTCTATATAAAACTCTTCACAGTTCTTCTGAGTATGGCTGCCCTGCCCTTCTGACCTCAGCCACCTCGTCCGTCACCAATGTTCCTTGTCATCTATCTTTCCAAGGGAAGCAGGCAATCGGAATGGCATCTTGAAGGGAAACCCGGCAGCCCGGCACACTCACCGTAGCTCCTGCTGGGCTGCTGTGGTGTCCAGAGTGTCCTCCAGCTCTGTCTTCAGAGCTTCTAGCTCCTCACTCAAGTCCCGTTTCTGCTTCTCAGCCTTATTCCGCGAAGCCTTTTCAGACTCAAAGTCCTCCTGGAGCTCAGCGATCTGGGCCTGCAGCTCCCGTACGACTTTCAGTGCATTGTTTTTATGCAAGGTTTCGTCATCTCCTCTGTCAAAAGATGCAGGTACAGACTCACTCAGGTGCTGTGTACATGGGCCATGTCTCCTCCCTGACCACCAATGCTAGTGACACCCCAAACTAGCAGTGGGAGTCCAAGCGAAGAGCTCCATTTCTCTACTTTAAAATGTCCTCTGAAGTGAAATGGCCAGAACACTGTCAGAGGGGGCTGTCCCACCAGCCAGAGCAAACCTGTGGTCAAGGCCTTCCCAGCTTCAGTTTCTGCTTTCTCTGGCACATCTTCAGACTTAAATGCATGGTTTAGGTGTTGGCAAGCCTTTCTGATGGGCAACAGTACTCTATTCTGGAGTCCCCCAAGTAAGAAGGCCTGCTTCCAGGTCAGAGAGTATCTGGCTGGACTCACAGTGACAGGGGCCAGAAACATTTGTCATAAGATTTTCTTCTTTCTCTTTTTTTTCAAATTTGAGACAGGGTGTCATTGAACCCAGGATGACTGTGAGCCTTTGGTCCTCCAGCCTCTGCCTCCTGGGATTACAGGCAGGCTCCTTTACTCTCAGTCTTATGTAGTGCTGGGGCTTTGTGCATGGCAAGCAAGTATGCTACCAGCTGAGTTACCTCTCCAGCACCATTGCAAGTTATTCTTAATTAAAACATGTTATAAATTAAGCTCCAAGACCATGTACCCACACAGTTAAGTCTTTAAAAAGGAGACATTAGTAGAAATAAATATCCAAATGGCTTTGGACTAAACAGCAGATCATGGAATAAGAGAGGAAATATTTCGGAAATGTTATTTTCTCCAATGTTCCAAAACACAGAAACTAACCTGCAATGTAGAGAAAACTAAGTGTGGTAAAGAGCTTGCTGTCTGGTGTGGCCCTCCCAGGACTGAAATGTGATACTGACAGTGGCTTATGAGATCTTGCTGCCCTGATATAAATTATGTACTGCTGGGTTTTTCATGAACTTATGTTGTAACCGACATGGAAGAAAGTGTATCTTGTTCTCTGGGGTTCTCCGCCATGCTCCCAGACACGGTCTGAGATGCAGGCGCACAGGCCTACCCATGCAGCTGTCCCCCCAGAGTGCCGGCACTTCAGACCTGGCCAGCGCCCCCTGAAGCTCCTCTTCCTTCTTGGCCAGCTGGACTTTGAGCTCATCCACCTGTGCCTGCAGCTCAGCGATCTGGTCCTGTAGGTCGGTTGTTTCACCATCCAGTTTCCGTTTGGCCTTTTCCAGTTCCTGTCGAGTTTTCTCCTCCTTCTTCAAGCGTTCTGCAAGGCAAGACAGACCAGCCCTTCACCATACTGCAGAACACACACAGTGAGTGGATGTGGCCACGGTCTTGATAGCCTGAATCAAGTGCTTGGTCGTCTGAGACCTACCAAGATTGGCTGGAGCTGAGATGAATGAGTATGTGGACAGAATTTTAAAGACTAGTTGGGTCACGTCTAAAGATGTCCCTTATGGGGAAGTGAGTCCACACTGTTAAGAGCCAAGATGAACTGGAACCTTCTCACACCATCGCTATACTCAGATCTGGAAAGGGAGCTAATGGGAGGCTACCCCAGTCACTGACTGCCCCAGTCCCCAGCCCTGGACGAAGCATTGGTGAGGCAGAGGGGTGGGAGGGGCCCCGTGTCTCCCCAGCCTCTCTGCCACAGTGCAGCTCCTTAGTAAGGACTGGGGAACACTTCTGCTCCCGTGGTTTGCTCCAGCAGTGTGGCCTGTGAGCTCTGAATTCTTTAGCAGGAGCCCTTGGCCACAGAACAGTTGGATGGACTCATCTGCCTCATGAACACCTCTTTAGCAGAGGATCCAAAGGGTAACAAAGGAATTTGCAAACTAAGTTTATACTGACAGTCTATCTTTTATCTATACCAATCAACCCACCCATCCCCACAAAATAGTAAAAATCCTCCCCAACCCCCAAATATTAAAGGAAAAAAAAAAAAAAAAAAAAAAAAAAGAAACACCCACATCCCCATTTTTTCCTCCATTACAAAAGTATACATTAAGAAAGCTAGCGGGAGGCCAGGTGTGGTGGCACACACTTTTAATCCTAGCACTCAGGAGGCAGAGGCAGGTGGATCTTTGTGTTCGAGGCCAGCCTGGGTTACAGTGTGAGTTCTAGGACAACTAGGACTACACAGAGAAATTCTGTCTCAAAAACCAAAAAGAAGGGTGGGGGTGGGGGAGGAAGAAAGGGAGGATCGAGCTAGCTAGCGGGTCACTCTGCGGGGACTGAGCAGACCACACTCACTAGCTGCTGGACCCTGGACAGGGTTACCTGCCCTTCACTGCTTCTGTCCTTTCTTTGCAGCCAGAGAGGCTGCTGCTGCTCCTCTGAGGTTTTGTCTCTGTCCCACCAAGCCCTGCCCTGGCCCACTCACACTTATCACCTGCGTACTTGCATGCGGTGCTTAGGTCAAATGCCCAGAATGCCACAGGCGTAAATTCCACTGCAGCTAAGTCCATCAAAGGCAAGTTTCAAAAGAAGGAAAACCACCCTGATTCTATCCCATCAGACACTAAGTGACATGACCAGTGAGGTCTGTGCTAACACTGAAGTCCTTGGCACAAGCAGCCACCATGGCCACTGCCCACGACTGTCCTGACCCAGCACAACCCCAGCACCCTGCTCTGAGTGTCTTGGCTGACACGAACCTTCTAAGTCTGAAATCATCACTTCTTGCTTGTTCCTGACTTTAGCCAAGTTCTTTGCCTTTTCTTCCTCTTCAGCCAGCTGAGAGGAACACTCGGCAATGCGATCTTCCATGAGTTTCTTTTCCTAAGTAGAAAAACAATAGATTTCAGAAAAGACATGCACAGTTGTACCCTGTGTTTGGATTTACTCTCAACAGAAAGTTTCTCTGATGTGAGCAACAGTGGGTCATTGGGCTCTGCTGCTCCAGTGGGCTGATTCCTGCGGGTGGCTGCCTGGTCTTTGCCTTGTGCTCAGAGCCTGAGCCCCAGGTGAGCCACAAGTGGCATACATGGAACAGACTGGGAAAAGATTGTAAGGACATTTGTCTGTCTTCAGAAGTCCAGACTGGAAGCCTTACAGAGAAAGTAAATGCAACTACATTTCTGCAGAACTTTCCCGCTCTTTCTGTTTGGAGATCATTTGGGTGAGTGTGCCAAGCTCTCTTCAGGATTCTAACAGTGGTGCCCTATGGAAATGGTCTTACTTTGATAAATTTGGAATTCTGGTCCTCGAGAAGCAGAACCTCCTCTTCCATCTTCTTGATTTTGGCCTCTGCTGTCACCTTCTCCAGCTGCAGCTTCTGCCGGGCTCCCTCCTCCTCATCCAACTGTTCTTCCAGGTCCTGGTAAAGAAAAGCCTGCGTCAGTCTTCACAGTTCTTTCGTCAGATTCACCCACACAGCAAGAGCACACAGGAGCAATGACATGCTCCTGTTGTACGTTCAATGGGATTGCAAACTACAAAGCACATATTTGTGCCTTAACAAGTACAAACTGGGTCAGCCCTTCGGAAACTGACATGACAACTCAGCAATCGTGCTTTCAAATACAACAGTAGGAAACTGTCAGGGTGATTTGGTATCGGCAATAGCTGTAACTCCAGCACTCAGGAGGTTGAGGCAAGGGGGATCTTGACTTGCAAGCCAGCCTGGAAGAAGAAACACCAAGCCAAACACATACAGTGCTGCTTATAATACCTGAGAAACTATGTGAAATGGCTCAAGCAGTTAAGCTTTGGTGCATCTGTGAGAGGGTGTAACACACAGTAATTAAAAATTGCACTGTACAATAATCAGCAGCAATAGAAAGTATAAACTACGAGACAGTAGCACCGTACCAGCATACCTCGTCCAGTGAAACTGAGTGAATTCTAAGTGTTTCCTCATCGAACCCTAACATGTTTATTTACATCCTATATCATTGTATTTGATAATAATGATGTTATGAATGGACATGGTGTACATATTAACCCAAGAATAACCTTGCGTAAAGGTTTTACTTATGGTTAATTTCAGAGTTAATCTTGTGAGGTGTGACGATGACCTCTCAGAAAAGCTCCACGTACATCTCCAAGGGCACAGTGCAGCCCAGTGAGCCCCAGTGACACCTGAAATGTGAGGGAGTCAACTCATGGCCCATCTCCTTCATGGGGACCTCCCCCTTCTTTTGGCTGATTCTAAAGCAAACCCCAAGCATGCTATTTCATCTGAAAAGCCTTCAGGCTATATCTCTAAAAAATAAAATAAAGGCTCTTTAACAAAGCCATTTGCTTGCATCGGAATGCATATAAGTCTCACAGGCTGTGACTGACAGGCGTATTAAGCCTCCTTCGATCTCTAGGTTGTTCTGTCTTCTCTCTCCTTTCTAGGCTACCAGTTCCTGGCTCCCTACTGCCTGGCTTTTGTTAACTATTTTCCTGCACACACTCACTAGGCAACACAGCAGTATCTCCACTATACTTTCACTGGATAAACAAATCTGCATACTATTTCAAATAATTTGAGAAGAGTGATGGGAGTAGGAGAGCTGGGTTGGAGGGCCTCTAAATGCTTTTGTATGTTCTAGGTTTTCTACGATAATCATATTAATGCTGAAATCAAGAAACTCATCTTCAAAACCATAAAAAAGTCCTAGTTAAAAAGGCGATCAGAAACCACCCAAAGTCTCAGAGGCAGAGAGGAAAACAAACAATGCAAGGGGTTCAAAATGGGGTTCGTAGGGCCATGTAGTCAATTTGGAATCTCTGACATGTTACAGGAAAAAAACAAACCAAAACAAAAAAACCTAAACCAAAACAAAAACCTGAAACCTCATAATGCCTTAATATTTTTAGATTGCACTTGAATGAATCTTCCAGGTCAGAAAAAGAAAAAGTAAATTAAAACATGATGTAGAAGCCTGTGTTTATTTAGGAGAACATGAACCTTACACCATAAAAATACAAAGCAGGAAGCTAACTGCTTGTACAAGGACATATTTGTGTTTTAAATGAAGAAAACAGGAGCCTGTAGGTAAAGAAATGCAAGCATTTCTTATGAAGTGGTTAAAATTAGTGTAAAAAAACCAAAATGACAGGGGAAGGGCCAGTAAGACGGAATAGGACTGCTAAGGTCTGACAATACCCTGTTTGTAAATAATTCACTTATCTCTTCCATAAAATCTTAGATTTACATCTAAGGAACATATACTTTGCACAACTTTTGTAGTACTCCACTAACTTATAGAATATTTGAAAACTGTCCTGAAGAATGGACATACATGGCTGATTTCGTACTGTGTTAGTCATTTTGACAGACATCTGGTTGTCTGTGCATTGCAAAGTTGAGGTATGCAATAAGAATGTTAATGATGCTGGCTCATCAAACAGTGGTGGCAGATGATGACAACAGAGACTGAAGGGCATGTCATTAGGTGCAGTGGTGACGGCAGCAAGGAAAAAGGGAGATGTGTGTGTGTGTGTGTGTGTGTGTGTGTGTGTGTGTGTGTGTTAGGACACAGACAGGAAACTCACTGCTTGTGCCATCTGTAGCTGTGCTCTGTGCTCTGTGACTAGAGCTTATGGTTCAAGGCAGGGCAGGGTTAACTGTTCACCATGCATGTTGCATGTTTGTTATGAACCAAGCCAGTTAGGAGATGCTCACATAATCACTGGAGTGAGTATAAGAACTAGACCGACAACATAAAGAAGCACCTTGGCTCTAAGCAATGCTCTAGACGGTGGGTGGCTTCTGACTTTACTCTCTACAGTGTAAGATGCTACACTAGAACACAGAATTCCTGCTTAGTAAACACGTATTCTCAGTAGCCACAGGAATCCACATGTTCAAACCCAAAGTATACAGTGCTAAGAACTGAGACAGGCACCTGGATGTGTGCTTGCATCTTTTTTTTCTCATTTTGGAGGATCTGGTTCCTCTCTTCTTCCTCTTCTACCCTGGACTCCAGGTCATGGAGAATCTCCTCCAGCTCCTGCTTTTTGGCGGCCAGTCTTGCTCTCATCTCTTCTGCTTCAGCAAAGAGCTCAGTCTCAGCTTGAAGTTGTTCTGCAAGAATGTTCTTCTCTTCCAGCAACTGAAAGCACAACACAGGGTTCAGAGCTAGGGCTCACCCAGGGTGCTCACACACACAGGGTGCTCACACACACAGGGTCCAGAGCCACAGCCCACACAGGGTGCTCACACACACAGGGTCCAGAGCCATGGCTCACCCAGGGTGCTCACACCAGAGATCCACCACCATTTCAGCAGTTGGTGCCCACTGCCTCAGACATAGCAAGTTAAGAATATGAGACACAGAGGCAAGATCTGTGAATTCCCAGACAGCCTGGTCTACACAGAAAAGTTCTAGGCCAGCCAAGGCTACATAGAGACCCTGCCTCAAAACAAGCAAACAAACAACATCTGGCAGAACTTTGAATTGTGCCTGTGTGTGTGTGTATGTATAAAATAAACTATGTGAAAATACTTTTGGTTGTTTTGGTTGCCCTAAGTTATCTTGAATAATAAAGACCAACTTCTTACCATTTTAAGAAGTAGAGTTTGTCCATTAAGTTAGGAAGGGACAGATAAACAGGAGATGGGATTATTAAAGTGTTATAAAGGTTCTAGTTGTGGTGGCTCATGACTCTAGTCCCAGCACTTAGGAAGCTGAAGCAAGAGGTTGCCATGAGGGGGCCAGCCTGGGCTATGAAGTGAGGCTACTGAAAACAAACAAAAACAACAAAGTTCTTGGGAACTACCGATGGCTGCCGTTTATCGAGTACATATTCGACTTTCCACACTGATAACTGTTGCAGTCACTCAGAGACACTACTTGGCACCGGGGGGTGGGGAGGAGGTGGGGGGGGGGTTGGGGGGTGGGGGGGGAGAGCATTCGGTGCCTGGGGGGAGCACTTGGCGCCTGGGGGAGCACTCAGTGCCTGGGGGAGCACCGCCTCGAGGTCCCTGTTGCTAGAGAAGTGAGTGTGGAGCCCTGGCTCAGCCACGCCGCCCTTCACTCTCTCTCCCTCACCAGCAGACATGAGGAGGCAGCAGCGGCAGCCCCACCCCACACAGGGTTGGACACGGGCTTCACGGCCAGCAAAATCCACAGTGTGTTCAAAGAACGAGAAAGGAAAGGTGCGGTGGATTTCAGCTTACATAAATCTGAACCATAAGACTCAGTGCGGCTGTTAACTCTGCAGTGAAAAAGCGTGCTCTTAAATCCCCTAATACCATGTTGCGTGGGTGTGGCTGTTTCTAATTAACGTGTGAGCTGCTGTCCGCAGGAAGGCAGGATAGCGTGCCCTGCAGAGGAAGGTGCACACACCTGCTGGTGTTTCCTCTCCATCTCCTCAAGCTCCCCCTCCACCTTCGTCTGCTTCTCCTTCACCTTCAGCAGCTCCTCATCTTTGGCCTGGAGTTCTTCCTCCTGGCGTGTCACTTGGAGGAGAGGCTTCACCTGTGACAAGTTGGACAGTTCATCACCACAGCCCTGCCACACTTGCGATGATCTAAGTCTGCGTGAGGGAGACCTCAGCCCAGCCTACCTTGGTGAAGACTCGCCACCACTGCCAGTGCCGCAGCTTCAGGTACGCCGCACAGTTCCGCTGCAAGACCTTTAAGGCACTTAGTTGTTGCTGCTTCTTGGCAAAGGCCCTGAAGAACAGCAAGGAAAGCACACCTTCACAGGTGCTCATGGGAAGGCCATCTTAAGGCAGATGTCCTTCAGGGATGGCTTCCCCAGGACCTCTTTGTTACTTTGCTTGGCCCTGTGTGTTTTCCTGGTGACTGCACAGGACTTGCATCTCTTCACCCAGATGCCGCTCCCATGGGATGCACCGTCCATAAGGGTGGAGCCTGTCAGTCTCACGCCCTCTTGTGTCATGGTACAAACACAGTGCCCAGCCCAAGGGTATGCTTCAGAGGCACAGGATTCACGGGCCCACTTACTTTCTGGCCAAGTAGCCTCTGCAGACAGCTTGGAAAAAGATAATGATATCGGTGATTTTTAAATCTCTTTCTTCTTCTAAGTGCGCCAAAACTCCAGCTCGGAAAAAGATCTTGCTCTGTCCAATTCTATACAGGTTTGGGTCCAGTTCTAAAGCCCGGATCTAAGAGAGAAGTATCCTGCTTATTCTTGCTACAGGAAAGCCATAATAATAATAAAGAATCCAGGCATAGTGGCATATGCCTTTAATCCCACCACTTGGGAGGTAGAGGCAGGGCAGACAGGGCTATAAATAGAGAGCCTGTCTCAAAGACCCAAAAAGAACAACAAAAGCAATCTTACCATCCGCTCACAGGCCTGTTTGCCATCCATGAATCCTTTAGGAATAGCATTGGGAGTTAGGATCTCATATCTGGGGAAAGAAAAGGAGAAACAATGACAGGCAGCCCACAGATTTAGAGCAGAGCAAGAGATGGGCGAGTGATAACCCCGGCCTTTGCAGGTCCAGTTCCTACTTAGAAGTGGAGTAAAAACAAGGTTCATTCTCAATCAAAGGGCAGGCTTAGGGGTCTGGCAGGGAAGGATCAAAGCTGGTACTGAAAACCTTGCGTTTTTCTTCAATTCCCACAAAATGTTCACATCTTTAAGATGAGAGGACCTGGCTTTGCACTTTCAGCAGCCAGTCAGTGTGTAAGCATTTATCAGGTAATAGAAAAGGCTTAAAGAGCAATGACCACCAGCTTCTATGTGGAACCTCAGAAGACAACAGGGTGACTTTCAGCAGTGACATATGGTCACTGAGGTTTGTGCTTAAAATGCGGTACCCCACTGTGAACAGTCACACCCCAGCAAGAAAAACCCTGCAGCAGGCAGGCAGCCATTATAACTCGGTGCCCAAATGCCACCTGTGTCTTCTTTTCCTAGCAATAAAAAGTGACTCCTCCTCGACAGCGAGTGCCTAACTAGGACTGCCAGTAGCTTCTTGAGTTGATTCTTCTGGAATGGGGGCGGGGCGAGATAGATGCCGACCTTTCTTTGACCTGGAAGCCCGTAATTATTTTGTGGATCAACAATGGGCATATTTCAAAATCTTATTTCCAGAAGAAAAGGGAAAAAAAGTAACTGAGTTAACAACTTTAGGAAATTGCTTCCCAAAGCATTTCCCACCAAGTCTGCATCAACTGCTACTGCACAGCAGTCTCTTCCCTTTGGCTTTTATCTTAATCGTTTTCTAACCTATTCACTTTTCTATTATTCTTAAAGGTCTGCCATTATATACACACATGTACACTGGAAAAATGTATATGCACAGATTCACTTACTGAAGAAAGATGGAACCATCCCAAAATACTTTCAGAATCATTACTGGAGTGCTTTAAACTTTTTATTTTACTTGTATTTTAACACATACCACTCAACTATCCTTAAAATACCTGCTATATTAAAATACATATTGAAATTTCAAGTAGACGTATCTGAAGAACGTTATATTTCTAGCTATTTGGTTCATCTCCTAGCTAATTTCCAGGCTCTGAAGATGGAGTATGTCTCAGCACTCAGAAGTGTGGCCTCTCTGTACATTAGGACAAGAACTTCGTTTTGCACGGAACACAGGGGAACCTAACCCTCATACCAGCATTTTCATTTTTTACTATGGTAAGCTTGGACACAGACAAAATAGGTAAAGGTCAGTGATACCTCTGTCTGAATTCCTGGAAGACTATCCGGTTGGGGAAACCCTGGCGGCAGATCCTGATCCCTTCCAGGACACCATTACAGCGAAGCTGATCTAGCACAAGATGTGGGTCCAGTTTTCCAGCCTAAGAAAGCAAACAACAGTTTTCTAGTTGAATCTCAGTAACCTGGCCCCGTCAACTCAGAACACAAGCATGCGATCTGCCTCACACATACCCGCTTCTCGTGATTTGGAATGATGCAGCGAACAAAGTTGGGGTTGGTGTTTCGGAGAGTTGCCATCAGTTTGGTGAGAGACTCTTTGTAGAGCTGCCCAACAGTACGGAACATGCCCTTCTTGGTCTTATATGCAGAGCCAAAAGCTGTCTCAGTCATACCAGTGACTTGATCCAGACCTACAATGCGGTCCACTGGGGAGGGAGGAGAAGAGAGCTGTGACCCGAGTGAGGGCTGGGAGGAAGGAAAGACTGTGATAGTTCAGCAGCACAAGCTTTGTGAACAGATGGTGAGAGGTGCCGTCTAGGAAAGGCAGTCAGCACATTCAGATACCGCACAAGCCGAGGCGCTAACAGCCACACACTGACATGGCGGGATTTTGCAGTGCCTCTGTAGGCCCCACCTACCACACTGGGGGCAGGTGCCTTCCACTGCACTAGGCTCAGGAACCCTGTGTCTGCTAAGGTCCTGCCTGTGAGATCTGCCATTACTCGGCAAATGGAAGGATCTCTGGCTGGCATTATTGATACACAGACTGATGCTGGGAGAAGTCTCAAGAAGAAATGGCTCGTCAAATATTCATAAAGATAACTGACTGTATAGATCCACTTAGTGTAGGGGCCTGAGTTATCCTGAGCCGGTGCATCTTCAGTAAGGAATAAATGCAGGAAGATTCCCTCACTTTGATTTTGAGCAATGTGTGAACCTCAGCTGCCTCCTCAAAGTCCAAGTAACACAAAAACCACAAACCAGGAAGGACTTCTGAAAGCCACTGACTGAACCTCCTCAGACTTTCCCACGTCGTTAAAGCAGATGGTGTTTTTACTATCTACACAACAGATCCTTCTAATGAGATTGCAAAAGATACCAGCCATTAGCATACCTGCTGCATAAGATGCTATATACTTCCTTGACACATTTCATGAGAAATTAAGACATGAATTGACCTGTCATTAATAATATTCTCAAGTCTGACAGCCACCTCATTTCTTTGTGGGGACCCGCCCCTGGGTAGGGGTTCTATGTGCAAGATCTCAGTTGATCCTTGACTTCCATTCCAGTGAGATTTCTACAGAAGAGGGGTAAAGTACCCTTGAGGCAGGCCTGGAATGGAAACTGGAGGATGGATAAGAAGAACTGTGTGGCTCCAGGCTTCGAGGCCAGGGTCAGGTGACCCTGCACTTGTGCCCTGGAGCTCACTGCCATCTCTCACTGAGGACTCACTCATCTGTCTTCAGCCTGGATCCCTTTCACTGCCTGTCCTGTACAAGCCTCCGTTAGTTTTGCAGTCCACTTCCTTCTCTATCACCAGTCCAGCTTATTTCCAGAGTTCACTTACTTGCCACTTGTCACCTTCCTCCACTATCTTCCCAGTATTTGCTCAACCAGGAAGTGAGCTTCTAGCCTACTCTCCCCATCCTACCCAGTATTGCCCGGGGAAGTGACCCACCTGTTGCTAAGGCAATGGATGTTTATCTGCTGACCATCACAGCAGACTCCTAAACTCTTTACTTCTGGCTTTAATGACCCTGCCTACTTTCACTCCCAGCTTCTCCAGCCCCATCCCCCCAACCCCTGCTCTTTCAATCTTGTTATCCAAGATGACTTCCATTTACTTATCCTTCTCCTGCCCATCTTGGCACAATAGGGACCTAGACTCATATGAAATTCTCTAGGATGTGGTAAGGAACGAGCATATACGTTAGCCCCCTGCTTGTCTCCAGCCTTGCTCTCAGCCAAGTGATTTCATTATGACTTTAAACTACATATGCCTGGCTACCTAGCACCTAGTCACCAGACTTACTAACATCCTTAATTCATGTGTTAGTGAAAGAACAAAACGTATTTAAGGTACAAAGTGGAGAACGCAGTGAAAGACAACAGCAAGATGCTGGGAAATGCAGTTAAGGGCTCTCTCTCTGGGTATCCCATTTACTACGCGAAGCCTAAGGATGAGACAGTGGGCAAACAAGGGCAGGGCGGGAAGGGAGAGCCAAGGAGACACTGAGCAGGGGCATCATGAAGGCCTAGGCCCTTAGAGGATGACAGAGGAGATGGCCGAGGAGAGTCAAGGCATATTCTGATGGCAGGATACATTGTGCGCATGGTTAATTCAGTATGAAAAGGAGACGTGTCAGGGACAGCTCCTACAATTCTGGCTTGAGTAAATGAGTGGCTGCTGGGAGGAGACGAGGGAACAACAAAGGCAAACTGGGGATAGTCAACATAGCTGTTCAAGTGTTCCAGGGGAAAACAGACAAGATGAGGGCCTGGGACCACTCTGTAAGCTGGACAAGGGAGGAAGAGGACAATGGCCAGGAGGAAGGGGACACAAAGGAATAATATCGATCCATCCTCCACCACCAACTGTCCCAGTGTGAACACTGCTCACTCCAGGTAAAAGCCGGGAGTCTCCGAGTCCTCTTGCACAGCTGCTCAACCAACCTTTTGTTCCTGCCTGGCCACTGCCATTCCTGCTGACCGGGATTCTGCAACGCTATACGGTTCTTTCCCTGGCCTTCCGTCCCGCTTACCTTCTGCTCCTGGCTGTCACACCCTTCCTTCCATTTACCTTCTATCCCAGTGTAATGATGAAACTGGAATTTTTCCCAGTCTGTCACATAGGGTACAAATAGAAGTGTAACTTGAGTCAGAGTCAGAGACACCTGCCACCCATGAGCTGTGTGATTTGGTGGTAGGTTCCAATCCCAACAAATCAGAGTTCCCTGCTCTGAGACAGAACCAAAGAGATGTGCGGTGTGGTGAGGTGGGGTCTGAACCGTGCTGCAAGTGCTCACTGCTGGCGTTCTCCACACGCCCGCCTTCCAGCCAGCCAGACTGCGGCAACCTCCAAGGTACCAGGACTTGTGCATCCTTTCTCTTTGGCCTCCTCTCCTAGTCACATGGTCTACTCCCTAACACTGCTAAGTCTCCATTCCTTAACTTCCTCAGAGAACTCTTTTTTTGGCTCTTGTCCCCACAGTGCTCACAAGGCACAGCAGGCTAGTCCCTCTTCTCCCTCTGAATCTCAGAGAAAGGTTCCTGAGAAAACAGCCCACACCATTCTCTGCATCTTCTCTGCTTGACTCGGCTCTCCAGGGAGGACATTTCACCAGCACCTCTCATCTCAGGGGCTTGGGAGCTGTCCCCATGGCCACTCTGACCTCTGACTGCTAACCAGGATGACTGTGTTACTACCATCCTGACCACCCAGTGCAGGCCAGAGCATGGCACGGGAACCTAGAGCTATTTAATAAATATCTATGAACAGCTGCTGGTAGAAAACAAAGAGTACTGAAGAACAAATTATCACTACCACAAGAGAGATGGTGCCATGTTTACTTTCCAAGGATCCGATTACATCCTCAGCGGTAGGCTAGTGGTGGGAGCAGTAACCCTGTATACCACAGGGTCCGGCGCACAATGCCCACAATCAGGAGCACAGTCACCATCGGTCCGATTGCACATTTAATAGCTTTGGATTACTCTCTAAAATTATTCAGGCTTACCAAAAATTAATGCTTTAGACTTTCAGGCTGTTTTGATTTTTTAAATTTACCACTGAAAACTCAGGGTTGGATTCCACTGAGAAACTGTCTCATGGTTAACAGAGAAACACATTAGGAGAGTCATGAAATGACCTGAAGCACATCACTAAATGATGGTTTTATTAAAAAAACTGCCACTCAGATAAACTTCCATTTTAGAAGGGTCTTTTCTTATGCAAATGATGAGAGCAGAAGCAGAGAAAGGCAGAAATTTTAAGATCCAGAAACAAGATCCCGCAGGGCCACTGCTCTGCCAAGCCTAGCTAGGGGCTGGTGGGGTGCACTTAGAGCCATTATGGAGTTCCCTAGAAGGTGAAAACAAAGTGTTTTGCCCTATACTTTAATTATCCTATAAAACTTAAAAGTCAGAAGTTAGATGGGTTTTATATTCATAATTATAAAATGGAACTTGTCATTTATCTACCATAAAACTGCCATCACCAGTTTTTCTAAAGGATTCTTAACTGGCTCTTCCTAGGGGATGAGGAGGAACAAGATCTTTTCAATGTCTTTTTCAAAATCTGCCAAAAATGTTAGTGCTTACTAAGCTTTCTGAACTATTTGAAATTTATTATACCTAATGTAAGTCAGAACAGTGGGGGAACCTATTGTCTGTGCATTTTAATGGGCAGGTGGGGACGGTTAAGCAATGGACTATATTCTCCTGGCAAGGACTTCCAGCAGGGGTGAGGCAAGCCTCAGGTCCCCTGCAGTGTTTTCAGCAACTGAATACTTAACTGCTGTGCGTTCCCAGAGACAGCATCAAATAACACCGTTATGATATCTACACAGCAATTAGATTTACAACCAGTACATAATTGGTGCTTAGAGCCAATCTATTAGAATAATTTTAGCAGAGGTAGAAATTTTTAGGAAAATTCCAGGAAGAGCGGTAGATAAGATCACGTGACTCAAGGACACTGCAGTAGTGGTGAGCTAAACTGGCATGCCTCTCCCTCCTTCCCCACACCCTTTGGAGGCCCCTTCTCACACAGGGCCACGGACTATTCATCTGCCCCTTCCTGTCAGCTTGATGCTAGGATTTATGCTGCCACTGGTGGTCCAGCTTGACTGCCTATCTATCCGCTAAACCTGGGGACACTGAGTTAACGAGACAACAGTTATTGCTTTTCCTAATTAAAGCAGCTGCAGATGCAGCCACAGCAATACACACATCTCTGAACATCAAGAACTGGGGCATGCTGGGGGATGGTGGTGCACGCCTTCATTCTCAGCATGTGGGAGGCAAGAAGCAAGTGGATCTCTGAGTTAGAGGCCAGCCTGGTCTACACACAGCCATGTTCCAGGAAAGCCATGGCTACACAGAATAAGCTGTCTTGGGGAAAAACAAAACAAAAACAAACAAACAAACAAACAAAAAAACAAACCAACAATCAAACAAAAAAAGCTAGGGCACTTTCTATACGCCTGGGGACACTAAAAGCCCAGTGTCCTTGTCAGCTGTCAGTCACCCCAGATACAGTGCCTAAATGACATTCTCCCTTGAGCTTTCAACTGCTGATAAAACTCAGGATAAAAGAAAGTATGTGCAACAACAACAAAACCCAGTCACTGCAAATGATGCTAATTTAACAAAGCACACAGACTTGGGACAGACCCAAACCCCTAACCCTAACATGATACTTAGAACAGGTAACTGTGGCCACTAGATGAATCTGCAGGTTCAGTGCTGAACACTGCTTTGTCATTCCTGTTGCTATTTCTAATTGGAGCTTCCACCAATGGCTTCTTAAAAAGCGTTTTAAGAAGTCTCACCGTGTAGCTCAGGCTGGCCTTATGATCCTTCTGCCGTAGCCTGCCCAGTGCTGGGCTACAGTCTATCAGGCTCTTTTTATACTGTACTGGACAGGGACAGGGACAAGACTGCTTTTGGAATCAGAAGATCTTCATGGTCAGGTTTTAAACACAGCCGAAGTAAAGCCTTTCCCCTAATTTGAGGCAAGTCTGCCTCTCAGCCCATGTAAGAGCTGCTACTGTACCTCAAGACGGCTTCTCTGCAAGATGGAAGGCCGGTGGGGATCTGCTTGGTGGCACATCCCACATTTTGTTTATTTATTTATTTTTTCTCTCCCGGTATCTTTTCAGGTCTGTTGGTTGCAATCTAGCACATGTGGAGCTCAAAACCTAAATGGTACAGTAAGTGAAGGACATGTCAGGACAGTTCAGTGCCAGGGCTGATGACTAGAACCCAATGTCAAGTCCAGAAGCTCTGAGTAATCCCTGCATCACTGACTCTGAGGTCCTGCTCTCTGCTTGCACCTTCCTTCCATATCTGCTTTGTCTTCAGAAATCTGGACTTGCACAGTAGATACAGAGAGAACATCCCTTGAGGCTATTCGGGAGCCTGCAGGACTTACATGTTTATGACAGGGACCCCTTCACTCCAGTCCTTCCTTCTTCCACGTGCTTTGATGTTTTTCAACATCTCTTTACCCAGGGGCTCGTTTTTTAATCCTTGAAAGCCTAGAAACTTATTTCCTCAACATTAAGACTACAGTTGGTTTGGTTGGTGTTTGTTTTGTTTTGGGGGCAGGGTCCACATAGTCCTGGTGACAAACACGCTTGGAAGCACAGCATCCAGATTAGTGTGCAGGACTGCCAGGGTTTCTTCACACATCAGCAAGTCCCAGCCATCCACAATCAGTCCTCGAAATTCTGCTATTGTCTTCCAGGAAAGCACCTAGGACACAGCATTTTCATCTCTGAACCCCTCATCTTCCCCTGGAGCCCCTTAGACCCATAAACAAGGCCTGTACATAGCCATGTTGGATGGATGGATGGATGGATGGATTCTGAGGAGTTTGACAGCTTTGCCACTTCAGTTCAGTTGAGGAGTGCAACCAAAAGCCACTTCACAACACAGGAGAGACAGAGCCAGGGACAGCCTTTAGTGCTGTGGTGGGAATGTGGCGAGGAGCTGCTTGTTTACTGAAATGAAGGCACCAAAGAGGGGCTCTGCACTGGATCTTGGCAGCACAACCAAATGCCTGGTCTGGGCACCTGACAGATCAAGTCTCACAGGGGCAGGGCTAGGCTGGTGTATGGGGCTGCAGCTCACTCGGTGACTTCCTCTAGCTTTTCATGGGATGTTTCCGCAGGCCAGCTGCTGGGGAAATGAGAGGGCCCAACAACAGGCTTTGACTCTTTCAAAGACTCTTAGAGAAGACACTTTGCTTCTAAGCTGTCCTCAACAGTTATTGCTAATTTTTCTGTGGTTCTGAGACTGAGTCTAACTCTACAGCCCATGCTGACTTCACACAAGTGATCCTTCTGCCTCAGCCTTTCTCAAAATGCCAACCTTTGACAGAGCACAGGTCGTAAGACCACACAAATCTGAAAAGGCTTAAGTTGCCTTCCTCTAGCCTTTCTCAGCATCCTCCAGGCTCCCCAGGGCCAAAGACAACTGGGCTAAAGGTTTCTGCTTTCAGCACTGTGAGGAGTCCTCACTGTGGGCAGTGCTGTCTGTCATTTCCTAGACTTTGCTCCCATTCCAGGCTCACAGTTGGCTTCCTTCACAGTATGCCAGCTCCAACTGAGGGCAAGCATTAAAACAGCACAGCTCCGTAACGTTTTAAACAGTGACTTCTGAGATGGGTTTAGACTTTAGCATTCTTATGTTCCAAATTCATACACTTTGTAAGATGAAACTGACTTCACCTTCAAGTATTGCTACTTTGCAATTTCATTAAAAAATTGGAAGACTGGGTAAGTTTCACATTGTTCTGGGCTTTGGGGACCCTTTAGTCACTTCTAAGACATACCTGAAAATAGGGCTAAGGATACAGAGTACAGAATCTAAACATTTGGAGCTCAATGTTAAGAGCAAAGTATAAATTCTAAGAACATTTCACTGGGCCTCAGTGTAAAAATGAATACATCAAGCTTAATAGACAGGTCCAGTGCCGCTAGCTCAAAAGAAAAGGCCAACAGCCGATAACATCCCAAGTCCAAACCAAAGGAACAATGATGAGACCCACAACCCTGAGGTAAACACAAACATTTTTTTCACAAAATGCAGTAAAGGGAGAAACTCCCTTTCGAGAATTCCCTAAGAGCAGAGAACCTAAAGGGCCATTCAGGAATAGAAAAGATGCCATTTGGCAGACCAGTTCCTACCAATTTGCTTGGAGAAGTGTGTATCAAAATAGCAACTGGAAAAGGTAGTGACATACCTTTTAATTTGCAACACTAAGTGCTATGCGTAAATAAGAAGCGATGTATAGGCAGTAGCGACTGAATTGTTTATGCACTCAAACAGTTGCCTTGAAGTATAATAAAACAGAGCATGAAATGGGATGTTCATGCAGGCCTATGAGCAAAACGAACAGAAACCCCAAAACCAGCCCCACCTCCCAGGCCACCCTGCCAGCCCCCACCCACACCATTTCTCCTGTGGCCTTAAAACCCTTGTGTTTTGGAGGTCCTGCAGGCTGTATACATTCACCTGGCGGCTCATGAAGACCAGAAACACTGTCATAGAAAGAAGCTCTCTGAATATTCTGAATCTCTAAAGCAGAGAAACAGTGAAAACAGGACAGAAGAGCAGATACACAAACACTTCAGTTAGTGTGAAAGACATTTGACATCACAAGTAAACTCTGAAATGGGGCTACCAAAGTAGCCAGCCCAGGGCAGATCCTATGCAAAAATTACTGTTTCGAGAATCTGTGCATTTGGATAAAGTTCCGTATATAATAAATTTAAGCTGAATTAAGGAAGCATATTCCCACCTTCAGGTGTGAGCATCACGTCACACTGACGATGTTTAAGAGTAAGGAGGCACTGATTAATCTGTCTTGCAATTGGTAAATCTGGGCAAGACTGAAGTTAAGTCAGAGTGCTAAGATAAATGCAAAATCAGTGGCTTCTACTGCCAAGGTTTCCCAGTACAGATTTTGGAAACATAATTCACTTCAAATACAAATTTCTAAAAGATTAGTTAGCTACTAAAGTTCTGCTGTAGCAAATAGCAAATGTTAAAATAATTTTAAAGTTTTGATCATGCCATTACTCATGAAAGTGCCCTAGGAGGCACTGTACACAACAATACAAGCTTTAGCTGTTGCTGTTTATATACATAAATAATGAGGAAGGGCATGAATTCCTATGCAGCTGGTTGAAAGATCCCCAAACAACAGCTTCTAATGAAAGCAGGGCACTATGAATCTCTAGGGCAGGGCTGCCATCAATACACTTATTCCTTTTGGTTTGGCCTTGAGAAAACTGTGCGAAACTCTCACACAAACTGGACTTTAACACACAGTGTCTTCAGCTCAAGGGACTATGCTGCCGGAGGCAAGCATCCATCGTATATTCTCCATTTGTGGTCAACTCATCGTTTCCTGTTCTTGCATTCCAGCGGCATGAAAAGGAAATAATTACATGTTTCACCAGGGCCATTTTTTTCCTAAGGAAAAAGTTGCTCTTAGCCCAAGGGATCTTAACATCTTGAGGGACAATGACTATCTCGAATTTTGGTTCCCTCATCCAACTGCTGAGCCTGCCACTGACCTTGTGTGTGAAACCCACTGGCCTCAAGCCTGGAAAAGCCTGGGATGCCTTTCCACTTGTATTCTACTCTACAATAGCATGTGGCCTCTGAGCTCTCTTGTTTCAGATTTAACCAACTGTCCACCTACGCTGGTGGGCAACAGATAAGACTTCTCACTCTATTCTGATAAGAGTGGCCACTGTACTCAAGCCACACATCTGCAGCAGGACAAGGGCTAAAAACAGCTGAGCATATAGCGCAGCCTGCATGGTCAGACTAAGCACGGACGAGTAGGATTGAAGGGTACGTTAGCACTCATAAAGAGAGCGGGGAAAGATTCTTCACACATGGCCCTGGCTGTGAGTCCCATTGTCTGTGACCCTTTGTGCATTCATCACTCAAGCCTCCTCCTTACCCATCATGTCTTTGACTCTAAAACCTGACCCTTGCCAGTATCTGCAACTAAAGTAGGGGTGGGAGGAGGAAGTCCAGGGAGCTGGGAGCAAAGACAAAGACAAACCCGGTTTCTCCATATTCCTTACTGCCTGACAAGCCTGTTTGGGGCAGGCTAGGGATCTTTCATGCTTTCGGACCATCTCCTAGATGTTCAGTGGAGTACCACTGTGGCTATGTACACAGGTTAAGCGCTCAGCCAGGGTCTCACGTGACAGTTTTGCTAAGAAAAGAGACAGGTCAGAGGGGGTTCATGCAACGAGAGAGTGTGAGCCCAGTACTTAATTTTTCTCACTAGGTCCCTGGGGCCTTTGTAGGCCTTCTCTGCCCTTTCCCTCTGCGTTCCTTCCAGACCCACTCTTTCCTGTCACCTCCTATCCTTCCCTTCCAGGGGGGTGTCACCCCATCTACCCAGGAAACAACCCACCATATTTACATTTAGACTAAACACATCTATGGAGATGCCCTTTGTTCAGTGAAATCTAAGCATTTCTCCATCTGGGTCAGGGTACTAGGGTTGAGCCGGGCCTCAAACATCACCTCAGCCTCACTCCCTGCTTACTGCCTGTCCTGCCCAGCCTTACTGTATAGCCAGAACAGAACAGACTCCCGAGTGCTGGCTTCCCATTCCCACATCAGATCACCCTACTGGCTTTCTTGCCCCAATCCAATCTGACTTGTTCATTGACCTAGGAGGAAGAGGGGCTGAGTTTGACCCAACCCCTGGGGCAGGCAAGTATTTATGACAGGCAACACTATACAGCACTCCTCTGAGAGACTTTCCATACCCACACTGCCAACTCTGACCCGAGCCTGGTCCTTTCTCCTGCATCATGCTCAGTTTTTCAGAGCCCATGATGATAAGACTTAACACCTCACAGTCCAGAACAGCCCTACTCTGAAACTTTGGACCGAGCAAGGACCAAAAGCCTTTGCTGTGTATTCAGACAGCACTCTTGACTAACTAGGCCATTGCAATGGACACTGTGTACTTGTAGGAGAGACAGCCTTCTCCTAAAGCCCCCTCCCCCTTTATAGTCTTAGGCACATTTCTTCCCGGGGCACAGGCATGCATGGGAATGGTTTGCCCCACCCTATAAACTCTCTCATACACTGGAACACATAGTCATTCTTGAGTAGATTGCCTTTCACAAGGTCACTGTTTTTGGAGATTTTCTCTTCATCCTTTTTTTTTTTTTTTTTTAAATCTCTTTCCTTCGCCTAATTGCCAAAATCCCTTTCTCTCTCTTGTGTTTCGTTTTCTCTACCTCTGAGAAGATGGCTGGACTAATACTCCTTGGGATGTTATCAAGAAAATGGAAATGAGTTGGTTACTGAGTCAGTGGTGGTCACCTGAGGTCCAGCAAGGGACATAATCAGGATGAAGGGGGTGGCTGACTGATAAACTCTAGGCGTGTTTCTACAAGGTCTAAAGAAATACAAGCATTTCATATCCTAGTAAAATGCAGCCTGTGGTAAAATTCACCAGAAAACACTTGAAGTTTCTACCCACAGCAGAACTATGAAGAGTAATGAAAACAGAAGCAACTGGCCTGTATGCAGGACACTGAAGCATTCACTCTGTAGCTGCTGTGTGTGCCTGCGTGCATGCATGTGCATATATGCACACGATGGGAGATGCAGCTAGACCTGTTTCAGCACCAGGAAAAGGTTCTTCTTGGGTTGCTTGTGCCTGAGCCTTTAGGTCATAACTTCAACTGTCACTGGGGAGCCTGAGGGATCCTGTAGCTTCTTGTGGCTCTGAATGCATAATGCTTCCATACTCTTCACAGCATCTGACTAAGGGGGCAGGTAGCTTGTTATTTATTTCTTAATCCAAGTATTCATAAGACGGGCAACTTCTGATATAACGGCAGCCCTGCTCTAGGGAAGATTTTAAAGTAATAAAAACATATGGATATATACAAACACACATGTATGTGAGAGAACCATCAATAAACCTTAACTACAGAAGATTCAGGCCAAGCTTAAATACAGACACAAGCTCATTCTCACCATCCTTCCAAAGCTCAGCCACGAATCTGTCTGACGATTGGTGCAGGAGAGTGGCCACATTGTCATTCAGAGGGTCCATGTTCTTCATCAGCCATTCATCTGCCTTATAGTCCACCTGTCCCACAACAAAGCCAAGTGGCATGAAATGGAGAACACAAAATCAAACATGAAAATAATTACATCCTAAGTCTTAATCAGAGACTTTCACTAAACAATCCCCAAACTGGACTGTCTCCATGGTCAGGTATCTGTAATAATATATTAAAACATACATGATGCATGGTCATCATCACCTTATACTATAAAATATACTAGGACTAAAGGTTGCTCAGAAGTTCTCTCTTTCTGTGTGTATGTGTGTGGTGTAAGCATGCACACGTGGATCCCAAGTCCACTTAGCTATCTTTATACATCACTCCCCACTTAACAGCTTGAGTAGCATCTCCTGCTGACCCTACAGCCTGTCATTTCAGCTAAACTGGCTGGGCAGCGAGCCCAGTGACCTATTTCTCCACCATGCCTCACACACTGGGGTTACAGGCGTATTCCACCATGTCTGACTTTGATGCGGGTGCTGAAGCCCCAAACTCAGGCCCCCATGCTAGGCAACAAGCACTTCACCTGCTGAGCCGTCTCCCCAGCTCCCCCGAGCAGCACCCTAACAAGCTGTTCAACTAGAGGGCACTCACCTTCCCCGCATAGTGGATAATGCAGAAGTCGGCTTTGTCTTTCAGTTGCCGTGGCTTTTGAAACTTGGAGTGGGAACCTTGCTCCTGAACCAGTTTTTCAACAAAAGTCTTATCTGTGGCTTTAGGGAACCAGCATTCTTCATCCAGGAGGGCCAGCACGCCAGGAGGATTGGCCTGATAATGAAAGGCAGTGGGGACTGACAGATCTGACACCGGTTCTATGGGGTGACAGCTCACTGCTAAAAGGATTAGCTTTATGAAGATCTATGAAAAAACCAATCACTAGGAAGGAAAGTATGTCCAAGCCATAACAAACTAATAACTCAAACATGGTCATAAGCTACTATGATCCAAGCAGAAATGTACGTTACCAAATAAGCCTTGAAATATGTGCATTGCAAGTAAACTAATTAGAGGTAGACACTCCAGAAAAGCATCAAAGACAGAACCGAGAAAGGAACTGAGTGAGGGGTGGAGGGGGCAGAAGATGAAAATGAGTATTTTATGTTCAGTGGCCGGCTGGATATACTCTAAAACTCAAAACTAACCAGCTACTTCAGACACTTTACATGCTAAGCAACGTAAGTTTTTGTTTAAGTAATGATTAAATAAGCTGTATCATTTCTTGTTGGTAAAACACCTAAAGCTATTATTACCAAGTACATCGCAGTGTGGACATCTGAATGAAAATGTCCCCAGACTCTGTCCCCAGTTGGTGGTGCTGTTTGGGGAAGCCTGGCCTCACTGTAGGAAGTGCTTGAGGTTTCGAAGGCACACACCGTCCCAGGTTTACTCTCAGGCTGTCCCTGCCACAATGGACACTTATCCCCCTGGAACCATATGTCAAACAAACTCTTCCTTCTGTAGGTGGCTTTGTTCTGTCACAGCAGCAAGACAGTGACTGATAAATTATGATAACATAAGTTACCAATCACTTTAAAAGGCCTTGGGAAATCCAGGACAGAAAGTACATCATCAGCAGTAACATGCTGTGTGTGTGCGTGTGTGTGCATGCATGCGTGTGTGCGTGCCTGTGGCTGCTAATGGGTATGAGGATTTTAGTGGGATGAGGTTATGAAAGTGTAGGATTAGTGGTGATGGTCACACAATGTTATGATACAGTACAAAACCACTGACTTGCAGCCTTAACAGATGAGTTGTATATGTGAATTATGTCTTAATAAAGTAGACAGCAGTGGTCCACTCAGTAGTGTTTCTGGGCCATCATTTACTGCCGTAGTGCCAGCATAGCTGGCATGTGACACAGTACTCAACTCACATGTATAGCATTCTTGGACATTTTTTTTTTTTTTGTACAAAACTTTACAATCCATTTTCCAAGTATTTATTGGGTGAAGAGCTAGCTGTGTAAGCAAATGTTATTTGAAAGACAAGTAGAGGTTATATAGTTAAGTCTATTATTTAGACTTAGCAAAGTGATGATATGACAGGCACAGGCACTGGCTGACTGGATGGACTGCAAGGTGCATAGGACATAGAAATCCTGGCTCCTTCTCAAAGATTTTTCAGGGTTCCTGATCCATTAAAGAGGGGTGAAAATCCATAGTATCCAAGATTGCTATCCCTGGAGGAGCCATGGTCACAGTGGCAGGCAGCTAGGGCTACTGAGAAAATAACAAAGAAAATAAATTCCGATGCTAAGATTGTCCTTAAACATCTATCTGCCGAAAGGATGCCCTGCCAACATATTTCAAAAAACAAAACACAAAACTGTCCAAATAAAAAGTGCTTACAAAAGGGCAAGCTTGAATTCAATTATTCAAAAAAATGAATTTATGTGACAATACTGTTCTTAGCTAAGCATCCCTGTATTACCCAGAAAGGATGTGTGCCAAGTGGAAGGTCCACGTGGCCTCTGACCGGTACACACCAGTGTCACTACCAGACTGGTCGCTGCAGTCTGTAGGGACCACAGCACATTATCTAACACATGTACAAACACAAGGACAGGGTGGTCGGAGCTACATGTAAGGAGACATAATGGAGGCGTCAACTGCAAGAACACTTATATACAGTCTGCGTTACCATAATGTCATTTTTCTAGACTGTCTGTCTCAGATTATGCCAGAAAGAAACTTAAAGAACAGGAAGCAGGGCAGGAAGGAAGCACTCACAGGTCTCTCTATGAGGTCGATGCAGGGCTGCAGGTCGAGACCGAAGTCGATGAAGTTCCACTCGATGCCCTCACGCTGGTACTCCTCCTGCTCCAGGATGAACATGGTGTGGTTGAACAGCTGCTGCAGCTTCTCGTTGGTGTAGTTGATGCACAGCTGCTCGAAGGAGTTCAGCTAAAGGTTGAATGATTGTCCAAACATGGGAGAGAAGACAGGAATACTTAGCCAACTAGTTACCCCAAAAGCTCATTCAAAACTATTTGTTCGGCATCAATGATACCCTTAATGTTTACTGTTTACTGATACTGTTTACTGCTATTGATGACACTAGGGGAGGGCTTTCTCTCCATCTGCCTCTTTCTTACTCCTATCTACTCCAGCTGTCACAGCATTTTTGAAAAGATGAGAGGGCTGGTGAGATGGTCCAGTGGGAAAAGGCCAGGCCTGACAAGCTGAGTTCAATCCCTGGGAACCATGTGGTGGAAAGAGAATCAGCTTCTGTGAGTGCATGAATGTAAACACACACACACACACACACACACACACACACACACCAACCACAGTGATGTAAAAGATGAATAAGAATCAGGTTATGAATTGTTGCTGGGAGCACAGCCTGAGCCTAACACATAATGCTCGTAGTAAGGGTGAGGCTCCTCCGATTTTCTATGAAGGTCATCCTCCTATCAGGTGTCTGACCGTAGCCAATACCAACGGTGCGTGACACTGCCCTGCTGCTGTCAAGTGCACCTGAGCAGCTTTCATTCATTAATGCCATTGTCCTGATGCGGCCCCCTCCTATTGTTCTGTTGGGTGGATAGATTAAGATATGTAATTTTCCTAATTTACTCATCCTATTAAGTACAACACATATTCTAATTCCATGCTGTTCACACAAGTACAATGTACCCATAACCTCTTTCGTTATAAAAAGTGGCTTTAAATTAGAGGTTCAATTGGTCTCCATGGAATAGATTTGTGGTCTGGAAAGGCCACACAGTACCCCACAGCCCAGAAAGCTGGTTTGCTGTTTAGAATGAGGTCATACTGGGAGGACACACTGCTTGCCTTCCAACACTGTCTCATTAACTACATTAATAATTAAGTATTAGGTTTGTTCCTGTCTGTATAAATGGATTTTGCTTTGCCTCTGGGCTTATGACATGCTATTATATTCAGTTACATGCAATAGATTTTAAAAATAATGAATATCTATGTTTAAACCGTCAACTACATTTTAATGACTTAAACTGAACCTGGGGCCTCTGCAACAGCAGCAAGCACTGTTAACCGCTGAGCCATCTCTCCAGCCCCACAACTGTAGCTGAAGGTAAACCCTGAGTTTAAGCATCCTAAGCAAGCACTCTACCACTCAGGAAGATACCCAAGTTGGAACCTGTTATTTTGGAGGAGGGGGTGAGACAGGGTCCTGACTATAGACCAGGCTGCCCTTGAACTCAAGAGATCCTCCTGCCTCTGCCTCCTGAGTGCTGGAATTAAAGGTGTGCATCCCCACACTCAGCCTATTTATTATTATGTTTTGTTTGGTTTTCTGAGTCAGGGTTTCTCTGACATGGCTCCCTATACTTCTTAGTGCTGAATCTGAATGCTTGTCACCAGGGACTGGAACTCTCTGATAGGATTAGGAGGATTAGAAGGTGTGGCCTTGTTGGAGGAAGTGTGTCACTGGGGATGGGCTTTGAGGTTTCACAAGCCCAAGATAGGCCCAGTCTCTTTGTCTATGCCCAGCCCTCTCTGCTTGTGGATTAGATGCAGCTCCTAGCTATACCTCGTAGCCACACCTGCTGCCACGCTCCCCACCATGATGATAATGGACTAAGCCTCTAAAATTGTAAGCCAGCCCCCAATTAAATGCTTTCTCTTGTAAGAAAAAAAAAATCTCAGTATAAAAATTATACATACTTGAGCCAATTTGTGAGCTGTGTTTCCTAATCAACCTTTATGTTATTTACAATCTCTATGGAATCTAAAAGCAGTTTCTTCTTTCAAAACCCCCTCACTTTTCACTAATTTACTTGAGTCTATAAACCCCCATCTCCTTATATGTCAAATTATCAAATTAAGTCCTCACCAACCTTTACAAAGGCTAAAAGACATCAGTATTTTTTTTCAATATTTTTATTTTATGTATCTGCATGCATGTCTACAGACAACATGCATGCAGTGACTGATGTAGCCAGAGGAAGGTACCAGAGTTACAGATAGTTGTGAGCAGTCCTGTGGGTGCTGGGAACCCAACCAGGTCCTGAGCAAGAGCAGGGAGTGTAACTGCTGAGTCATGTCTCCAGGCCCAGTGATTGAATACATGCTCAGCATGTATGCACCACATGGCTATATGCAGATGGTCTAGTTTTAAGAACCCCACTGTGAATATTTGCTATGCGTCTGACATTTCTCCCAGTGAGTTAATAGGATGTGTAATATGAATGGAAGAACCCCCAAGGTTTGAAATTCTGCTGTTGCACAATATAAAAAGTTGTTATTTTCAGAATTTGCTCCAGAAGCTGAAGAGCCAGAGATCAAACCGGCATATATGTTTTGGAAGTCTGTCTGTCAGGGGACCGAGGTCCCCATCTTGTCTCTGCTCTTGCCTCCTGGCTACATGCAGCACCGTGGGCATCTGTCTGCCCACCCTGCAAGCATCTTACATACTTCATTTCCAGGGGTGAAACCAGAAGTCAGGCTGCCTGCACAGGCTCCTCCATGCTCGTTTTGAGATGTTTCATCTGCTTCATCTGTTATAAATGGGGGTCTTTCTTTCACTGTTTACATAGGGAACGGCGATAGACTGCTTTTTAATGTATTTTTAAATGTACCCAGCCACTATAAAGTTATTTACGCATCATCCATACTAAGGACTTGGACAGTAGTGGTGTAAACTGAATGGCGAAAACGGCTTACCACAGTGACCCACTTTTTATGAGGCTAGACAGCATTTTAAAACAGGACAATTCAAAACACAATGGTGGCAAAAGGGACACGTTCATCATAGCAGCAGCACCTAAGAGTTATGCCTTCTACATAGTCTATCAGAGGCTGTGGAGACTTCTGAAAATTCACAGCGGATGTGTGCCCAGAAGTCTTTGCTGTGTTGGTGGTGTTTGGTCAATGATGGAGTATTAAACCCCATCATCAAATGTGCCTTCGCAGGACACAGGCCCTCATCCTGCCATGTACTGCTGAGTCAAGCCACCTTCGCTCTGGCCTCCTGGAGGTGGCTCTACCTCTACATCTCCGGCCCCCTCTTCCTTTGGTCAACTCTATCTAGACATAGTGGCTTTCCAGCAACTTCTAGCCTTGGATAAATACTCTCCCTTATAGGACCATAGTGGACTCTATCCAGAAGGGGGAAGGCTTTCTGAACTGGCATTCTTGTCCAGAACACTCACTAGTGATCTCAAGGCCCTGGGTAGCACCCAGTCTTCCCACCCCTACCTCACACACGAGCATGTCTGTCAGCACTCAGACACTCAAGCCCTGAGCACGCAGCCTCACGGTGTCTCCCCAGCTCTTTACTCTGTGAACTGAGTGGTCATTTGCGGCTCTAATCAAAGAGCAAGGAATGTATGTACCTGCTTATTTCTGACTGCATACATAAGCGAACCTAACATTTGTTAGGAGAATGAACAAAAAGGGGGGAAGAAAAAAAAGAGCAAAAGGGAGGGAGATGAATACCTCAAAAATTTCAAAACCAGCAATATCCAGGATTCCAATGAAAGAAGCTCCCTGGCGTTTGGTCCTATCCAGTGCTTTATTGATGCGGTGAACGAGCCAGCGAAACAGACGCTCATAGGTAGCTTTTGCCAATGCTTCCACTGCAAAATCTGCCTGTAATTAGATAATATCAACCTTTTACCCAGGAAGTAGTCTCAACAAAACACTAGTAGCTGTAATATGGTGTTCAATGCTACACAGAACTCACCCTTCAAATGGCATTTACTGCTTAAATATATCTCAATGTTACACATCAATAGAGGCATTAGTATACTTAATGAGAACTGTGGCTAATCACTTTTGGGAATGGGCAAAGCCCTCCTCCCTGGCCTTAGAGCTCGGGGCAACAGCAACTCTCAGCAACTTGGTTTCTTGGCAGTTTGCCACTAGAGGGTTCCAACCTTCTTAATCACCTTCCAACCTTCTTAATCAAAGCTTAATGTCCTTAAAACCAGCACAACTAAACAGTAAGTATGACCTCTCTGTTCACGCTGCTGTACCACCCAGTAAGGAGACAGTAGTACACTTGGCCTTGTTTGGCTGCTATAAACAAAGATTTGTCTACCAGATTAGGGGACAACTGGAGATGACATTTCAAATTTACTTATAAAAATCAATCTAAAATTCCTTGGGGAAATATATCACTACAGAAAAGACAAAACTCATTTAATACCAAGGTAATTCCATGTGCTCTTACTAACTCAGTTTGGTACCTGCCAAGCAGAAGGTGAAACACCCACAGCCTATCATGTCAGTGCATTTGTAAGAGCAGTCACCATCACACTCACTTGCTCTTTCGTCTGGGCTTTCTGTACGTAGTCTCGGCCAACCTTGATCCGGGGGGTGAGGATGGCCCGAGTGAACTCCATCACGTTCATCCCAAGCAGGTGGCAGAGTTTCTGTGCAACTGCAGTGGAAAAGTTTCCTAAATGCTCCATTTCTACTCACAATCCAATCACAGCATTTAAGCAAAGGAAAACTCTAGAAAGTCAAGTCTTGAAGGCTTTAGGTCTGCTAAAATGGTTTCTGTTCTTCTAGATCAACAACACATCAGCAAGAGACAGCAAACCTTTGCTCTGCTGGCCTTCCTATGGCTCACTTCAAGATCTTAAAGCCAAACTGTACCGTAACATGTCTTACCTTAAATCTTAAATTACTCCACTAAGCTGGATGTGACCAGGTGAGAGGCACATGGTGGATGGAGCCCCTTCTGCTAATCTAACTGTGTGACCAAACGTCACACGAAAGGGTCCCAGTGGTCAGAAGCTCTAGGAAGAAGGCCCATAGCCTGGTCAAAAAATGGTGACCATGACCCAGGTATGGTACTGCACTCCTTTAATTGAACACTCACTCAAAACCAGAGGCAAATGGATCACTGGGAGTTGAAGGCCAGCCTGATCTACAGAGCGAGTTCCAGGATAGCCAGGGCTACACAGAGAAACCCTGTCTCAGAAACAAGAGATAGTGACCCCGACACAGGAGGAGAGTCAGTCCCTCAGGAGTCACACAGGAATAAACACTGACAAACCTCAAACGTGTTACCAAAAAGGGATTCAGGGCAGGGGTGGGTGGTCTGTGTTCATGTGTATGTATGTGTACATGTGTGCACGTGAATGTGGAAGCTACAGGGCACCCTTGGGTGTTGTTACTGGCTCAGAGCTTACTCATTAGGCTGGGTTGTCAGCTGGATTGCTCACATCCATCTTGCTTGATTACAAGTGTGTGACCCATTGATGATTTTTATGTAGGTTCTAGAATGGAACTCAGGTCCATTGCACAGCATATATAGCAGGCACCTTACCAAATAGCCATCTTCCTACTGCAGAAAGACTATGTCAAGGGTGGCTGATGTACTTTATGTCAGTATTCACTCACTGACCACTGGGGATGTCCCTGTAAAGCCTCCAGGCTATAGGGGTTCATTACCCTTCAGAAACAATCTGGCAACTCCCAATACCTGCAACCACATCCTCTTGGTGTGCAAACTTTTATTCCTGACCAGTGTTTATTTAAATCCATTCTCAACATTTAAGAACAGAAAAATTTCATATTAGAAAAATCTAGATTCCCAGTGAGTACGGCACATACTGCTTATCTGTACTCAGGAGGCTAAGGCAGAAGGATTTAAGAGTTTGGGGCCAGCGTGTAGAATATAGTGAGAGCCTATCCCACCCCACCCTTCACCCCCCACCCTCCAGCCACAACCTAAAGGAAAAAGGAAAGCAGTGGTCATCAGTTTACCTGTGTTTTCTGGCATGGAAGCTTGGTCAGTGTTTCTCTCCTTTTTGAAAGAGATGTTTCCAAACTGCAGCACTGAAGACACGACTTTAAGCATTGCTTTATATTGATGGAAAGAAAAAACAAACAAACAGAAAGAAAGAAAGAGAGAAAGAAAGAAAGAAAGAAAGAAAGAAAGAAAGAAAGAAAGAAAGAAAATCCATCAAAATGGAGCAGACATATTCCAGCTTCTCTGGTGCTGAGAACTGGCTCCAGTAACTTTTTGTTAATTCTTCAGGGTTTCATAAAACAAAGGCAGGCTCATTAGCGGCCCAGTTATTTTCTAATTTGAGCTGTTTATAGCAAATTCACAGGTGCTCTAAGAGTAAAGGGCAGAGAGTTAGGACACACTTACAGAGTATCTCTTCGTGGGAGAAGCCCATTATGTGCATCGCTTCCATGGTCTCCTGAAAATTATCCTTGTCCTGCTGTCCAGGGATAGGTATATAGCCATTGGAGAGGAATCTGTAGTTATTAAAACCTTCCAGGAGTAAGTCAGCTAAAAGGAAATACAATGAAATAAAATGTAATCCATACTCATAAACAGACTAAAACACTCTACATATGAACACCGAGAACGCAGGAGATTGAGCCTGTCATTCAATCCATCGCTGGCATGCTTTTCCTTCTTAATTCATGTAACGTGTAAACATACAATTTTCCAGTATTTGTTTCAATGAAGGAAGGAAAGAAGATGTGAACATCTAAACACCTCTGTAATTTTTTTTGGGGGGGTGCATAGTGATTTGTACAATTTTCTATTTGTGGCTCAGAAAGAAGTAAAATCCATAGATTTAAGAACTTTCAGCATCATTTGAATGAAAGCTTTGATGTTCTTCTCATTCTGCATTTTCATCTTAGCAGGTAACTAGCTCTCTCGATTCTTAACTAGATCACATTGACTTTCTACTAGGAACTGTTTACTTCCCCACACCTTCTTTCAACACTTTGAAAATCCTTTGATTCATTCCAATTGCAGAGTCGTTATCTGTCCGCAAATGAATGCCTCAGAGTTTTATTCTCTTCTAATGTATCATCTTGAGTGTTTGGACTCTGTAGCAATACTGTGTGATGCTGAGTTTTTACCCCTTGAAGCTTTCCCTAAGTAGATTCTAGTTTTGTGTACTCACAGCATTAGAGGTGAGGAAAGTCTCATTGCAGCATGCATCTATTGTAAAGCTACTACACACACACACATATTTATTTATAAATAAAATGTGTATAGTAGGTGTGCAGAAACACTGAATCTAGGACTCAAGGAATAAAAACGTCGTCCATCTTCTCTCAGCATTTCTGACTCAGTCAGACAGGTTCTCACTATGTAGCCCTGGCTGGCCTGAAACTCACTATGTAAACGAGACTGGCCTCAAATGCTCAGAGGTCCACCTGCCTCTGACTCCTGAGTGGTAAGGTTAGACCATACTTGTCTTTAAGTTCTTCTCAAATTAAATGTTTTTTAACCAAAAATGTACTTTCTATTCTGCCCAGCCCTGTCTGCAGTCCTTGTGATTCACATAAACAAACACCCACTACTCACTCATTCTAGTGTCAATGCAAATACAGTCTATACTTAGTTGTAAGTCAGGGAATAAAAGCTTTTTTATTCTATATTTTATTAAGTAAATTTATCTCAGCCCCCCCCCAAACTCCACTATCAATGTTGGAAGAGAATCACACAAAGATGGATTTTAATTTAAGACAGGGTCTCTTTATGTAGCCTTGGCTGACCTGAACTCTCTTATATAGACCAGGATGACCTTGAACTCGAGAGTGGCTGGCTTCTGCCTCCCAACTGCTGGAATTAAAGGTGTGGACCAGCATGTCCAACTCTAAAGCCAATATAGCACAACTGCTCCTTAGGAGCAGCAGTCGGGAACAGTAGGGACCCATTACTTACACTTCAGGTGCTCCCCTGCTCCAGATAGCAGCTGGTAAAAGATATGGAACGTACGCTCATCTTTAGCTTGACGAACAGCACGAGACTTTTCCAGAAGGTCTGAGCAGAGCCGGTTAAGGATATAGTTACTAAGCAGGGAACATTTCTTTCTTGGCTACATATCAACTCTGATACAGTGAACCAATCTAAAGAATTGTATTTTAGATGAGACCAAAAAAAAAAAAAAAAAAAAAAAAAAAAAAAGCAGCTTATAATTCTTAATTTTCTAGACTCAGTGGGTTGGGAGGGAACAGAAGAGATTACAGGTGTTTCCTTCAACCCCATTGCTATTCCCCCTACCATGTGATACTGTGGAGTATGTTAAAAGAACACAGAACTACATGGGAAGTGAAGGAAGCTACTAAACATGAACGAAATATAGTTGCTTAAGGTAGGTGGTATCTAACACCAGAATATCACAAGTGTAGAAACAAGGAGCCACAGGTACAGACCACCGAGCTAGGACGCAGTCAACGAATGAAGAGCTAAGAACACAGGCTTGCCGCGTGTTACTTTCCTCATCACTGTGGCACAGTTCCGGACAGGAGCAGCTCAAGGAAGGAAAGATTTACTTTGGCTCACAGTTTGAATTCATCACGGTGGGGAGGCTGTGGCAGCAGGTGAATGAAGCCCGTGGTCACTGTGCATCCACAGGAAACAGGTGAGTTCTTGTTCTCTGCTTGTTTTCTCGAGGACCTGTGCCCATGAACGGTACCGCCTACATGGAAAGTGGGTTCTCCCACTTAGCTCTGCAGAGACAATCCCTCACAGGCCTGCCTGGACAGTTGTTTCTATTACGTCTAAATCCCATTAGGCTGACAATCAAGCTTAACCTTGAGGACGTGATCCAAAACCACATTTGCCTGAGCACTCAGCTCCTGCGACCCCCCCCCCCATAAAAACCCGCATGAGCTAGGTGCCAGCCCTCCATCTTTGCATGTGGGGTTCTTACAGTGTTTTGGCATGTAGCTATGATCAGATGACATGGTTGCTACGCTGACCAAAGGTTTTTTTGTTCCCTGCACTGAAGCTGAGAGAACACTGCCTAAATCATGATGTTACCCACCTGCTGGGTTCCCCAGGGCAGAACTCCATGGAAGCAGCACCCGAATTTCAGGGTTCAATGTGAGACTGGCTGGGGTCCTCTGCACAGTGCTTGGATGCTGCCGTAGTGTCGAAGGGTCCACAGGCACATTGGGTGCTCATGGAATCTGTTTCATTGCTTTGCAAAGGGATAACCTCTTCTGGGGGGGGGTATATCTTTCCGGGGGCTACCAAATGAATTAATTCTCTAAGTGCAAAATGCCTCAGGCTAACTCCACCATGTCACAATGTGGTGGAAAGCACAGTCTGATGAAGGATGTCACTAGCAGCATAGTATGCACTGAGCTAAGTGTCGAGTTCCCGGGAGCACCATCCCCGCCCTGGCTTTGGGTGTATACATTTCTATTCCTGATTCACAGGAACGTTTCCACCTAGCCTTCATCTATATAAAATCAATTTCTACTATAGGAGATTATTTATGATCTCACTAATTGTTGCTTATGTATTATAATCAAACAGGAATTGTGTGTATGACAAGGTCAAATCTAGGACTAGCCAAAGATCCTACCAACTGAGCTATATTCCCAGTCCCCCTAAATTTGTTTCGTATATACCTATTATCCCTTCAGACAATTCTATGCAATGACATTTCTTAGGATTATTCTATGTATCTGACATGCTCTGTCTTTGCTATAACTTTATTAAATTACTTTAACCCCATAATTTCATAGGTTTGCCTCACTGAATCGGGGCACAGCCTAGGATCATCATGAGAATATGGTAAACTGTGGGCGATCAACCATAGCTGTCCAGTCATACACCATGGAGGCCACAAGTTTGTGGCTGGCTTCAAAGATTTGTTAATTATAAGTACATGTGGGGGCCTGTGTGAATGTGTGTGCACCATGTGCATGCAGTGCCTATGGAGGACAGAAGAGGGCGCTGGCTCCCCTGGGAATGGAGTTACATGCAGTTGTGAGCTCCTGACCTGGATTCTGAGAACCAAACCAGCGTCCCCTGCAAGAGCAGCATGAGCTAGTAACTTCTGAGCCATCTTTCTAACCTCTATGGCTAAAACAACAAAATATCCACACCATTTTAGAGCTGGTAACCAGTAGCTGAAAGTACCTGCATGTGTCTCAATGTCACTGAAGTCCCATCAGGTTTGCTATCACAGATGGCTGCTTAAGGTTGCAGGAAAATGAAGCCATTATTCTGGACTGCAATTGTGAAAAAGGATACATGTTTCAATGTTGGCCCCAACAATATAGCCAGTTACATCAAAGTTGATCCGAATAAACTTGCCCTGAAAAGAGAGAGAGAGAGAGAACTGGAGATAAATAAGGACACAGAGGACCTGAGCACTACAGTAACAAGACAACATAGCCTCCTTAAACACAAAGAAAAAAAACTCATCAATGTAAAAAAGCAGCAGTAGAAAAGCGGTATAGACCACTGTCCTAGACTGTGGCATGGTAAATCTAGAAATGTTAAAGGACAAGAGGAGCTGGAGAGACACATCAGTGGCTAAAAGCCCTTACTGCTCAGAGGGCCCTGAGTTTGGTCCTGAGAACCCACAGCAGGCTCCCAGCCACCCATAACTGCAGTCTCAGGCCTGATACTCTTCTCTAGCTTCCACAGGCACCCATGTACAGGGCAGTGATATACACACATACACATAAATGAAAAACAAATCAGTAAAATCTTAAAAGGTGGGAAAAAAGCAAATGAGTGGACCCCCAGCAGGGAGAACTTGAGAGCTTTTCTGAATAGTCTGAGGCAGGAGGAAACTCAGAGGAACATCACAGTTAGACTTGGACCGTGTGGTCCCAAGTTTTAAATAGTAGAGATGATTTGGCAAGAGAATAGAAATCCATTAAAGAGTGGAGAGTGATGGAACACAATTACAAACAGTAGCAAAGCAGAATAATTTCTCCCAAAATGCCAAATGGTTTTATAAACACTAAGCAACCTGACCCCCTTGTATACCCTTGGGAAAGAAAAGGCTGCGGATGTGGCTCAGTGACAGAATGATGGCCTGGCAAGTACAAACTGAGCTTGTGCCCCAGCATTCTCACACAAACAGACAAAAGCATCTGGAGAAAGAGAAAGCAGTGGTTGTTTCATAATTCTGGTAGTTATTACACTGAGTACTCACACTAGCAGAGACAGAATGAAAGCAACGGTGAGACCGAGACGGCTTACTAGGTTTCTAAGACACAAAAGCCACATCGAATACTTCCTAAGACAGGACTGTGAGCAGTGAGTGAGGGGCTTAGTCTACAACGGAAGAAGCTCTGACATGGGTGAAAACATACTAATATCCATCAGTGGCCTTGCAGGCCCTCCTCCCAGGGAGCTGCTTCTAAACGTTGGGGGATGGAAAGGACTTTGACTAGTTGCTATATGAATCACATATACAGGTCTTTGGCATCTGTGAACCTTACTTATCAGATACATTGACATACAAGAACATATAAGACAAAATGTGGTTTTTTCAATTGTGTCCCTCGAAGTTCACTAAAAGTAGCTTACAAAAGGCATCTCTAGCCTTCTTTCACACCGTCTTACATATTGAGAAACAAAGGACCTTGCTGGTTTGAATGAGAATGGCTGCCACAGGCTAATATATTTGAATGCTTGGTCCCTAGGTGGCGGACTGTTCAGGAAGCCTTAGGTGTGACCTTGTTGGAGGAGGTGTGCCACTGGGGTGGGCTTTGAAAAGTTATCGTATTCTAATTTGCAGTTCAGATCAAATGTGAGCACCCAGCTACCGCTCCAGCGCTCTGCCTGCCGGCCTGCCGCCACTGGGCTCACCATGCTGTGACTGTTAGAAAGCCCTCAACTAAACCCTTTCCTCTATTCGCTGCTGTGGTCATGGTGTTTCCTCACACTAACAGTAGCTAAGACAAGAAGCGTTAGTTACCACAGTTAGTCTCTCAGGCAATCCCATTATTCTTTTTTATTATTATTTATGTGTTGTGTGTGTGCCTACTACACGGGGTTATGTGTGCCACATGTATGCAAGAGTCCAGAGATGCCAGCAGAAGCTATCAGATCCCCAGGAACTGGAGTTGCAGGTTGTGAGCTCTGCAGGGGGTGCTCTGAAGAACACCAAGTGCTCTTAACCACTGGACTATCTTTCCGGCCCCGATCCCATTATTCTTACAATGTTAAACTTCAGGGGTGGGGTGCTAGGGCTTGAACTCAGAGTCTTGAACAAGCTAAGCAAGCATGCCATCAACTCTGCTACATCCCAAACTATTATTTTAATCTTTTTAGCATAGTTGGTAACACTTATAAATAAATGACCCAATTCCTTGGATGAAGCAACAGCACAATGTTTCAACACAGAATAAAAATAAGATCACTAATACTTCATCTGTTTCTAAGACTTAGAAAACGGTTCAGTGGATCCATATGGTAATTACAAGACAGTGCATTTTATTCCATCTTAAAGATAAGTTTATTTTGTCTTTGTTCCTGGGAAGGACCTCCCTCCCCCAACCTCCCCACAAGAAAGAATAAAAGTTAAACCATTACTCCATATGGATAGTTAACTGTTCAAAAAAACTCAAACTAAAATTGAATCCTGATGTTATAAAAGTGGGTTAAAATTCTCCATAAATTCTAAACAGCTGTTCCATCCATACATTAGCTCACTGAGTTAACTAAGAACTGCTATTTTAAGAGACAGTAGTCAAAAGACAATGCTCATATTCCAAGGCCACAACACATTGCCAGAACTGTCCAAGCAAATAGTTCTCAAGTCTCTGGTTTAAACACCGCAGGGGGGTCATCAAAATCACTGGTGTTGCCCAATTCCTGCTGAAGAAAACAGTCCAGGAACACAAACTTGCGGCTTACGCCAGTGTGTGTAACAGCACAACACTGCTTAACTAAAAATAGAGCTACTGCATGATTCAGCTGCACCAGGCCTGGGTACATACCCAAAGGAAAACAGGTCAGCACACAAGAACACCTCACACCATGCTTAGCATGGCTGTGTCCACAAGGTGGGGAGGGACACACACAGTGGAGTATAGGTAATGCTACCTGTGAGAGGAGTTTCTAAAATAATTTAGCTCAACATGGTTACCTACTTGGGTAAACATCAGCATTCCCAGCATGCAGTGTTCCAATCCCCTCATCAGCTCCCTAGCTCCGTTTTCTTTTCCTAACTGGGTCCACAGTCACTCCAGTCATTACAGTGTGGGCCAGAGAATGATCCTTGGAGTAAATATAAAGAACTAAATAGAGTCAGGAGAGACCCCAGTGAGGCAAGGATGCAGGAGTGAAGGAAGGAGGGGGACCAGGGCGTCCTGTCCTTTATGCTTTCTCTATATCCCTCTCATGACGTAGCATTTCTAAAATCAGCACATGCTAAAAGTCAAAGCTCTAGAATTGATTTTAATCTCAAAAACGTAAGACAACAATTCTGTGAAGGTGAAAAACTACCGGCTCCTAAGCCAAATGACATTTATGTGCAGACTCTTAATGTGATAAAGTGACATTTCAAAACCCAACATTTGACTGAATATCCTCAAATAACCCAAAACTTAAACTCCCTATAACACTGAATATCCTGGCAAATTAGGTGAAAAGCAGGCAAGAAGATGTGCCATAATCCCAGGTAAGGCTGCCAAGAACTTGGGTGGATAAGAGATAATATTTGCCTTTGGGGACAAAAGGAGGACAGAATCTCTAAGTTAAGAAGCATTCACCTCAACACACACACACACACACACACACACACACACACACACAAGCACGCACACACACACTCACTCACTCACTCCAAATGAACATTTCTAGTGAAACATAAATCCAGACTAAACTGAGAAACAAGTCCCAGTTTTATGTAGGTTCTCTATCTCTAGAATATTATGTGAAGAAATTCATGCTAACTATTCTCTCTTCATAAAGTTGAGGTCAACCAGAATCTCACCAATAAAAAAACAAACAAGGAAAAAGGCCATGAATATGAGCACCCACTGTGTAGTAGTCACAGTCACACTCGGCCCTGGGCAACATTCACAGCTATCTTGGCTGCACATGGCCTGTTGGAAATGCCCATTCAGAGCATTCTAAACAGAAACCTAGAACTCTGTCTCCATGAGAAACACTTCCTCCCTAGCTTAAAGCCTAAACTTGGGGCCTTCCAAATGCCGAACTAACCCCAGTTGTTGGGAATTTCATTTTAACAGGAAAACTCTATAAAGAAAGTTGAATTATTTTATTTAGTTAACATTTGTTCTGAAATGGCCAACTTTTCTGGGAAATTTTCTGGAGTGACTATAAAAGCATCAGGAGTAATTAAGCTTAATGAATTATTAGTTAGCAGGTACTACAGGGGAAGGCAGGTTCGTTTTACACTCTGTAATTATTTTCCTCTCCCTAGTCTGGCACTAACTGGATTATATACGAGCCGTGTTTTACTTTAAACACGTGAGCATGGATGGTGATGTAGTACATTTTAAATTCCAATCTGGAGGCAGCCAGTTTCCTTAAAGAGAAGAAAGATCATCTGAGAGTAGTGGCTAGGGTTTAATCCAAAAGCCAGATGGCCACCTCAAATGTTTCAATTACCCTAATCTTCAAACCACTCCAGAAGCTTTGCTGTTACTAAAACGAGTTTGCATGTGAACTAAGTGGCCTGTTACTTAACTTAATGGCTATCAGAAACTACCAGGATAACATGAGTCGTGTTAGGAGTATTAGGACTGACCTGACCAAAAATGCACTCTCTACCTAAGCATGAATAAGATGTCAAGACTCCAGTCAGCCCAGAAGGCCTGGTGCCCGGAGCTCCTCGGAAGGCTTGGCTCTGAAAGGGGGAGTGTGCGTGCCATGGCTCATCTTGGATGCTGGTTTTATGGCACAGACTGTACCTCATCTCTGATACTGTCACACAAGCAGCAGTTGACCTTTCAGGGACAGCTTGGGTCAGAGGACTAAGGTTTTTAAATGTTTGCATTACATGTGAGGGTGTAAACCTGTGGCTTCATTTCATTATAATCCAAGAATCAAATCAGGGGGAAACTCTCATGACTTCGCCTTGCTCTAACTACTGGAGGCTAATTACCTACCAGAGGGCACAGCAGAGCCGTGAATTGTCAATCGAGCTCGGGTTGGTTTAACAGTGGAACACAATTAATCAAGAAATAAAGTACTCGTGCAAATGGCTTTCTGAGAGAGCTGTCTGCGGCTCCAAGCAACCATGGTAAGCCGAAGCCTGCTTCAAAGTCCCATTATGAGAAAGCCATTGTCTATAAATGGCCTCCATCTGGAAGGCATTTCACTTCTCATAAATAGTGCTGGACTAACTGTGGGTGATTGTTTTCATACGGGTAGTGCCCTCCCGAGGAATCCCTTAACACGAACCACATGCTAGCATCTTTAGAAGAAAGATAGTCTTCAGGAAATTAGGCGGCTATATCAGATCAAAGAAATGGAACCAAATGGCTTCTAAAGCTCATGGAGTTTACAGTTTCAAATATTTTTACCTCACGCACGTGGCTCATAAACAATGACTGCATGAGATCTTACTGAACACACAACTCATCTTTTAACATCACACATCACTTCTGGATGACACCAATCCTAACCCAAGGCCTGTCCTGTTCATGGAGCCAAATGCCTTCCACATAACCCCAACCCACACTCCTAAAACAGGAACATGCACATTCTTAGGGGGGTATAACACAGTGAGCAAACTACAAGATATGACATGTCACCGAGAATATTAATGTTTCAACGAAAATGAAGGTGAGTCCTACAAGGCAGGACTCTAGTTTGCCCAATGAGACATTCCCCAGGTCTAGAGTGCACCTGGCATTTAGTGGCAGGAACCAAGTGGACAGCGGGGAACATGGCAGGCAAGGTCCCTGCAGGCTGAGCTCTCACATTCTCACGGGAGGGACCACAGTCACACTGTGGCTACTGACTGTGGTGAGAAGACTGAGTGTAATCACTGGCAACTATGAGCTGTGAGGGAGCTATGCAGCCTGCAAACACAACAGACGACTTCTCAGATGGCGTTCAGACAGCTAGGAGCTAGGAGAAATGTGGGCAGACCTCAAACACATTCCGGAGGTTTAACCACCTGGATTCACTACCAGCTGGGCAGTGGGCAAGCAAAAAGGTCTGAATTCCTAGGCATTTTGACTTTCTAGGTTTTGCTGTTTTTATTTTGCTTTAAGCTGAAGCAGCTGTTTGATTCAATTTACTGACGTAAGACAAAATGGAACAAATTCCAAAAGAGAAATTTTCATTTAGAGTATGTTAAATCTTAGAGCTCTAGAAGGCATTCATGGATATACCAATTGAACAGCAGCATTGCTTGGCAAAGAATAATTAATAATTAATTAAACTTCACAATAAAGCAATATGCAAAGTTTAAAATTGAGTCATGATCATGGGTTACTTTCAAGTCCCCCAATAACCAAAGTCAATACCCATGGAGGAATACAGAAAGGATATCTTAACTGAACAGTACACAATCAGTGAAATTAATTATAGTTTTTTTTAATGAAACAACTAAAACCAGATTATCTGTTTTAGTGTTGTGTAGCTAACCTCTTATACTAGCAGAAAGTCACTAAACCATTCCTAAGAAATTGAAAACAATTGACCAAAGAAGTCCCCAATACTGTACAAAAACAAGAACAACTGGGAAAGACCTTTGTTTTTTGGCTGAGTGACAGTTTCCTACAAGATTATGGCCTTAATCACTCAGGCAGAAACCTGCAAGCAGGGCCTGAAGCAGAGACCATGGAGGACTGTTTACTGGCTTGTTCAGCTTGCATTAGTATATATACCAAGCCCACCTTCTAAGGGATGACGCTGCTCACAGTGGGCTGGGTCCTCCCACTTCAATCATTAATCAAGAAGATGCCTGTAGACTGTCCACAGGCCAATCTAAGAAGAGCAATCCCTCTTCCCTCTACCCAGGTGACATTAACTTGTGTCAAATTGACAAAAATCAACCAGTGCCCTCATGTACCCTTTACAGATAAATTCCAGGAGTGCTAGTTTGGTTTGACCTAGAATTTGAATGTACTGTCACGAGCAGATTTTTTTCAACTTCAGCATAACTGACATTTGGGGCCAGGCAGTTCTGTTGTGGAACTGTGTATTATAGGATGCTTATCAGCATTCCTGACCCAACAGATTCTACCAACAGTAAACCGACACTCTCCCAGTAGCTGAATGTCTCTTGGGGAGAGCCCAATTAAGACTCAGCAAGAGACTTGTTGGGGAATATTATTTTAAGGTGTGTGACTTTTATGTTGCATTTGTTTAACTCTGAAGCTGTGTCTGTCTAGAACACCTGATGGTGTAATAAGGAGCTGAACGGCCAATAGTGAGGCAGGAGAGAGAAATAGGCAGGGCTGGCAGGAAGAGAGGATAAATATGAAGAGAAATCTGGGAGGAAAAGATATCTGGGAATGAGAGAGAGGAAGAGGACTTCAGGGGCCGGCAGCAGCACAGCCAGAAACAGAGTAAGAAGGAGAGGAAAGGTGTACAGGAATAAAGAAAGATAAAAGCCCGAGGCCAAAGACAGGATAATTTAAGTTAAGAAAAGCTGGCAAGAAACACGCCAAGCTAAGGCCAGGCATTCGTAATGAAGAATAAGCCTCTGTGTGTGATTTATTTGGGAGTTGGGTGGTGGGCCTCTCAAAAAGCCAAAAGAGTAAAAACATCACACAACAAGGCTCAGTGGTTAAGAGCACTGGCTGCTCACCTAGAAGACCCAGGTTTGATTCCTAGCACCCATATTGCATCTCCCAACCATCTGTAACTCCAGGTCCAGGGGACCCGACCCCCTCCTCCTGCCTCCATGGATACCAGGTGCACAGGCACATGGTACATACTTAAAGCAGGCAAAATAAAAATACCCCTACACATTAAAAAAATAAAAAACAAAAAACAAAACAAAACTGGGTGGTGGTAGCATATGCATTTAATCTCAGCACTTGGGAGGCAGAGGCAGGCAGATCTCTGAGTTTGAGGTGAGTCTGGTGTATGGAGCAAGGTCTAGGACAGCCAGGGATGCACAGAGAAGGCCTACTTCAAAAAACAAACAAAACAAACCAAAAAAAGAGTAGTCAATTTAGAACCCACTGCATGTAAACAACGGAGAACCCTCTACGGAGTTGGGGTTCACTGTAAGATGGCCCCATCACTGTGTTCACAAATCCCCCAAAGTGTTAGATCACCAAAAAGAACTGATATGTAAACTTTCAATAAATGTTCTAGTACCAACTTCTCTTTTATAGGCAAAAATAGGACTACTGTGTATTGCAGTTTCTCTTGGATTTAGAGTGCAGTTGGGGATGGGCAGGGAGTGGGGTGGGATGAAAAAAGATGGGTAGCTTGATTTATGTGGTAAAATAAAGGATTTCTACAAAGCTGTACTTGAAAATCTTCATGAAAAAAAAATCACATACCAAAACTGGGAGCTCACTACTTCTCCATCCCACTAAACACAGGGCTTTCCAAGGGGGAAAATTCAAGATTCAACTGTGGCACAAACTAATGTGGACGGACCATCCAGGGAAGGGTGGGCCTCTAATTCAAGTCTCCCGGACCTTCTCTAAGTGCAGGCACCGGTGGTTCTTACCTACACTGGCAAACACTGCAAAAGGAATCCCTGGGTGAATTTAGGATTGAGAAAAATCTTCAAATATTTCTTACTAGGAACAAACAATATTCTAAGCAAATAGATTGCTATCCCCTGTGTAGTGTGGAAAGCCTGCCACACTTCAGCTTTCTGAGGCTGAGGCAGACCAACGGTGGTAACCCCACCTCCTGTTAGAGTACTAACCCAGTACTCTGGGATGTGACTGTATGTGGAGAAGGTCTTCAAATGATAATTAAATGAAATGTCCCTAACTAAATAGGATAGGTGTCCTCCTCAGAAGGAGGAGACAGAGAGAGAAGGCTTACAGAAAACCAAACCTGCTGATGCCTTGATTTCAAACTTCCAGGCTTCAGAAAAACACATCTCTATTGTCTAACCCACAGAGCTAGAGACCTGTGTTTACTAGGCTAGGCCTCTGTGACAGCTCTTCCACACCGCCGAAAACTGTACCCACTGCTTTACACATTGTTTTCAAAAACATGCAACAATGATACCATGTCCCCCAAAATATTCATTAAAATTTTGATTTTAATAAAAAATTGGAAAAAATGACTAGAATTAAAATGTCTCTTGGTGTTTTGATTTTCACTAATATTTCAGGAGGGAGAAGGAAAAAGTCAAATTTGAATAACTTAGGTACAAAAAAATTGAGCATTAAAGTTTCTTAGATAATAGAAAAGTCCTAGTCAAGCTGAGAGGAAAGAAAAGCTATCAAGGAATTACAGTTGAATAGTTAAGAAAGTAAGCCATGGCCCAGGCTTCTTGGTGCTTACTGGCTGGTTCCTCACAGCATATTCCGCTTGCTTTCTTAATAGAACCCAGGTCCACCACCACAGGGGTGGCAACACCCACAATAGGCTGGGTCCTCCCCCATCGATCACTAATAAAGAAAATGTCCTACAGGCTTGCCTATAGAACAGCCTTATGGAGGCATTTTCTCAGTTGAGGCTCTGTCTCTCAGCTGACTGTGAAGTTGACATAAAACTAGCCAGCACACCACGATCTGTGCCAATTCCATAACAGTGACTGGCAAAAGTAAAAGAAGCAGCGCAGAGTTCTTACACAACACAACTACAATTACTGTCATATGTGGCTACCAGAAGTAGTACTGCATCTATTAATTCGCCTTTCTTAAAATCTAAAAAGAAAAAGCAATTCATTTGCTCAAGTCAGAGTGGGCATGGAACGAGAAACCCGAGGATGTCTAAGTTTATTTGGGCTTTTCAACTTACAAAGCGAGATGAGTTATCATTTTTCACAGTCTTTGCATTTCCAAACGATTCCAGAATTGGATTTGCTTGTAGAAGCTGCCGTTCAAGTTCCCCCTAGAAGACATCACACATACACATAGACACACACACACATAAATAAAAACAGATGTATGTTAATCTTGTGTCTTTACTTCAGTCCTTGGGATGAAAAAAATATTACAAAACCACCCTCCTCCCGGGACTTCATTCTGCTGCCTCCAGTGACCCTCACTGGCTTTGTTCCTGGTTTTGATAATGAGTTCTGACAAAAGGAAAAAAAAAAAAAAAAAAAAAAAAAAAAAAACCAAAAACCAAAAACAAAACAAAAACAAACAAACCCAGCATCTAGAGGGGGAGTCCCAGGAGAAGAAAAATGTGTTGGACAGATAATTTAAACTATGTAGAAAATAAAACTTCATAATTGGTTTCCATGAAATGAAATTGAGTGTAACACTCTGGTTAAGAATACAGTACTAATGCTGTTAATTTTTTTCTGCTTCGTGTGAAGGATTTAAGGGGCTGACAGAATGGTCTCCACCATATTGGTGTGCATTTCCATCCTCCTCAGTGCTTTCACTCCATCGCCATGGTGGAGATGGGACATCAGTCCTACCTCTACGTCAATCTGGCAAGGCACTCACTTCACTAATAAGTAGACCACTTGGCACAACACACACTTTAGTCAATCTTTATGTAAATTGACTACAAAACAGATTTCACAAATGAGAGGTGTAAGTTCATGAAACCTAACAGACATCTGCAAGAGAAAGCATGTTGTCAGGCTTGGCCAAGAAAAACACTACAAAGTGATCTTGTGTTTCTGGAATGTAATTTCAGAATTATCTTTTATGACCTGAATAAATCTGTCCCAACACAAATCTTATCCCTATACTTTACGTTGTCCACAACATTCTAGACCTAAAGAAAATGAATAATACAAGCCCCTGGCAAATGTGATTCTCTAAGCAAGAAAAAAGAAATATAAAGAGCCTCACATAGGACTTTAAGTTAGTGGTCATCAAGTGATGCACGATGCACGCCACTATCAAATCTCAAAACAGGAACAATGCACGCCCTGGTATTACTTCACGACTCACAGATCTGGGGCATCAACAAGGCCAACTGAAGACCTCACGGCTTCTGCATGCCCCTGGTGGGGATTCTGGGATGTGATGCACTTTGAAGGGCAGAGCAGTGTTTCTAAGGTACCCACAAACATTCAAATGTGCTACCGATGTCTATCTGGACTACCCAGATTCTCACATGCCTTCACCACAGTCTACCACTGTGTTCAGCTGAATGCAGTCAAGACCTGATCCTGTCTTGTACTCACTGCCTTCTATCACTTCCCTTTCTGGGCATTAGGTAACTCACTCTGTGCAGTGAATCTTACAGTTTATTGGCTCATAAATAATTAGATTTTTTTATGTAAATCTCTGTCTATTGTATGCTAACAAATTTTTCTTTTTTCTTTTGAGACAGGGTTTCATTAAGCAACCCTGGCTGTCCTTGAACTTATTATTATGCAGAACAGGCTGGCCTCCATCTCTCAGCATCCTGACTGCTGGGACATGTCACCACTCCCAGCCTCTACATTTTCTTAAAGATGGTTGGAATCCTGAACTAGTTTTGATAACTGAGAGCTATTATGACTTATATCTGGTAAGGACTGGGGATATAGCTCAGAGGTAGAGTGTTTGTTTGACATGTATCAGGCCATGGGTTCAATCCCTAACTCTGCAGGAGGGTGGGGAGAGTGTCTGTTACCATTCTGTGAGCCATCATGTCCATCAACATGTTCGTGACTGTGATCTTGTAATGCTTGTAGCACACTGACTTTGTACCAGGTATCTGAACCTCCAAAGGCCCTCTCTCTCCTTTGCTATTCAATTGAATTTGTGGGATTAGAACGCAGAGATTTAGCTGATGCTCTGGTAAGGGAAGTACCTACTGTGCAATCTGAAATACAGATTCTTTCTTTAAAATCATGGACCATCCTGCCGAGTCATAATTAAAAGACTGAGAAACATGTACAGCATTCCTGGCTTCATGGCCCTAAGCATGGCAACAGGGGTTCTTTGGGGCACATTTCTCTCACTAATTCCTTTCCCTTATGTCAGTGTCAGGTCAAACTGACAGGAGTGTTGGGAAGGGGGTAGGTGAGCCAAAGGCAAACTTATGATCTGGCCTGAGGTCCCCAAAGTCTGTGTCTCCTAATACTGAGACATCAAGTAAAGATCTTATACAAAGCTAATAGAAAACTACTACCACAGGCAGTAAAATGATACTTCTATCTCTAAAAACTGCCAGGGAACAGGGACTATTTACATCGCCACTAGAACTAGGCAAGCACTCATCTTTGCTTCTATTTTATATGATATCAATAAATGTTCTTGATGAATTATTAAATTCAAATTATTAAAATCATTTACAAAATTCTAAGCATTTAGTTATATATTGTTTTGAGGTTTATTAATCATGGTGAGAGCTGTATTCTTGTGTTTATCCTATACTGTACATACAACAGAGTTGATAGAAGATGAGTTTGAAATGCTTAAATATATTCTTTCAAAACTCCAGGTCAGCCAACAAGTGTCAGGAGGTGTGGTGGGCTGAAAGACAATGGCCCCCAAAGGGAGTGGCACTATGAGGAGGGGTGTGGTCTTGCTGTAGGAAGTGTGTCACTGTGGGGTGGGTTTTGAGGTCTTTTCTCAAGCTTCACTCAGAGTGACAATCAGCTGACTTCCTGTTGCCTACAAGATGTAGCACCCTCAACTCCAGCACCACAGCTGCCTGCACACCGCTATGCTCTCCACTAATGAGGACAATGAACTGAACCTCTGAAACTGTAAGTGAGCCCCTCGATTAAATGTTTTCCTAATAAGAGTTGCTGTGGTCATGGTGTCTCTTCTCGGCAATAAAAACCCAAACTAAGACACGGGGCAAGGATTCACTGTCCTTTGCAGGGCCAAGCACAAGTGATCCAGACCACTAGGAGGGTGAGGGAAGGGGGCCTCCACCACAAATGGAAATCAGACTCCAATTTCAAACAGCAGGCTCTAGTTTCCATGTCTGTTATGTCACCGTTGCCTTGGTTCAGGGCAGTTTAGGCCACTGAGGAAGGGTACGGTCACCTGAAGATGCTGAGAGGCAGGTGCACTGGCTTGAAGGCACAAGCTTAGTGGATGGCGAAGTTTTAAAAATTTCCAAATCTACTCTGAATGCCTCATACTGAATCTTGGTGCAGCAATGGACACGTAAAACCTCTGCGCGACCTGCCAGGAGAGAAACCTCGGTGGTACCGCGCTTGCAGCTGCCTGGTGGGTGGCACTGAGGGTGTAAAGCCAAATATAACTTTCAATTATGTTCTAAAACATATCTAAAAGTTCACAGATAAATCTTTCCTTGAAGCTTACTTTTGTAACGTGAGTTTTGAAAGCCAGTCTCTCTTTTATTTACTCGTATTTGTAAGGGAAGCATAAAGACGAGCCGTACCACTTGGGTGGTTATACTAGAGGGCAGACGTCGCATTGCCAAGCGTGGATGAGGACACGAGAAACAAACACTCATGTTTGCTCTCCCGTTTTCACATGATCCAACAATGTTACTCTAGGTGTGTGCTGAAGGGCAATGAAACAATGTTCTACAAAACAAGTACCTAAATGTTCAAAATGGCCCAAACTGGAAGCAACCCAAATATCTGCCAACTGCTGAGTGGACAAATAAACTGGGGCATATTTAATACAACAGGATGTTATCAGGCTATAAAAAAGACTGCTCTGCTTCTAATGAGACAAGGTGGGCTGAACCTTGAAAACATTATGCTAAGTGAAAAAAGTGAGAAAACAATTCGTATTCATATACAGTGTCTACAACAGACACATAGCCTGGAAACGGAAAAGTGGATTGGTGGTTGCCAGGACAGGGGGAAATAGGAGGAGACTGCTGGTAGATAGAGGGAGACCAAATGAAAATGTCCTGTACTTGTGATGATGCTGAATTGTGTAACTGTGAATACACAAAAGCACTCAGCTATGGGTGTAAATGGGCAAACTGTATAGTATGATTATATTGCAGTATTTAGTCAATAAAGTTTAGTGTAAATTCAGAAGCCATTAGAATAAAGGAGGAGAGAGAGAGAAGAAAGCGAAACAAACAAAAAAATTAGCGACTTTGCAAGGTACAGTCAGCCCTTTCAGGCTCTGCACCCATAAATTCAACCAAGAATGTAACTAAAATATTTGGAGTTGGGGGTAGCATCTGTGCCAGACATACAGGCTCCCCATTATCCTGTAATGGGCATTATAAGTACTTTAGTGTGACTTAAAGATTACACAAGAGGACCACACAAACTCAATTTTATATATGGTACCTGAGTATCTGAGGATTTTGGCATATGAGGAGGGTAAGGATCGGGGCCCAGAGCCAATCCCAGTCAGGCACCAATGGACTACTGTATAAGCTCATATGTTGGAGAACAACTGGGAAGCAATTCTTACACATTTCTAAATGCATCACATAGCAGCTATGGACTCAACTAGGGTAGCAGTGAATGTGGAAAGGCATCCCTGGGGCTTATGCACACAGCCAACACATGCAGAAACGTGCAACTCAGCAGGGACAGTGCAGCCCAAAGCAGCAGCCTCCTCCTTGGGGAACTTTGCTTCCAGGGATGGACTGGAACCCCTGAGATATCCAAGTGTGGCATGCTTCTCACATACAACTGGGATGCAGTGTAGTTTACAATGACATCGAAAACAAAATGTACATGACAATGGCTCCTGTCTTTTAGAGAGCCTGGAAAATCTAAATAGTTATCTTGCTTATTTAACGCTATCTCTTTAGTGCTCTGAGGTCAGAGAGGGTACACCTTGAATGCACCAAGAAAAGCTGGTTTCTTGTCCATGTTGTCCTCCTCCAAATACCAAAGATGCCTTTAAAATATCCTAATGCATGACTCATTCATTAACCCTCCTAAACTATACTGCTGACCTGGATTGCATAAGTCACAAAAGACCACCACAGGCTTATAGATAAACTGAGCTCCAATGATGGGCATTTTCTCACCTTACATGTTAAGAAAGACACTTGAGAGGTCTCAGCATTTGTGACAGTTCCTCTGGGTATGTATCATCTTTTTTTATACGTATTAATAGATCAACTGTATGACACAACATCGTTGCTTCTTGCTTTAAATTAATGACATCATCATACTTGTTGAGATCATAAACCTAACTGTTCCATCAGGTCCAAAGCCATGTCCTGCTCTTCAGGGACTCTGGCTCAGTTCTGTCCTCCCTCTCCCGGGAAGCAGGAAGTCCTGCTCTGGTTTGTGGTGGGGCTAAAAGGCAGGCAGAAGGTAACTCCTCCATTACTTGCCCAGCACACACACACAAATTTAATTTATTGAGGATATTAAATACAACAAGGCAAGCCTTTGGGCTAAAGCACACACAGCGTAAATTATAAATGACATAAAAACTTATTAGAAATTTAGTTGCCCCAAAGGTACAACTTTCAAGGTTGTGTCCCCAATTTAAAAAATTTAAATACAGCATAAAACAAAGTTTTCATGTGTTTGCTATGATAGTAAGATAGTTTCACCTAATGACAGATGAAATCATCTAAGTGTAAAGGCTTCATAAACACGCATTTCAATGTCATGATAAAAGGGAAAATATTCACATTTTCTAGAACACAAATCTGAAGCAGAAGTGCATGCTGCCTTTTGTGAAAGAATAAGACTCTTAGCAATAAGTTCTTAACATTAAATCTCATTTTAGAATAGATTCCACTCAGAACCAAGGGTGTTACATGTTTCTAGGAGAGGCTCACTCTAAAGACAGCAATCAAGGCAGGCACTCAACACTGAGAAGCAGAAGGAAAATCACTTGCCTGGGGTTTCACTGGCTTAGGCGATTCCTGCTGCTCATTACAAACAGACAAGCACACGTTAGCACAAGGCACCAAGCCAGCGTGCAGCGAAAGCTTACCAACTACCACAGCGTCTCAAAACACGAGAGGTTCACCAACTGACACACATATTCTGTGTTTTTCATCTTTTCTATCATCCATAGATTTTCCCCACAGACACCACCTCCCAACCCCCAACCTTTAGAGCTGTTATAGGCAGCAGCCGCAGGCTGCAATCTGGAGAAAGAACCACTAAAGTCTTTACAAATACTCATTTGGTGGCAATAAGAAATCTTCATAGGCACTGCTCATTAATTTATAACAATTCTCACCAATCTCTGCCAGAAATTGGGCCTTAAGCCACAGCCATAATTCCCATTTGCTTTGTCAGAAAGCCTAGGTGATTTCCATACTATGCCTGGCTCCTCCTGAATGCAAGGAAACGCAGGGCTGCTGGGTGTGTGGCCAGGGAGCTGCTAGCCAGAGCAGTGGACAGAGTAGCTGTGCAGACAGAAAGCAACAGAGCAAAGACTTACAGGAATATTATGGTCCTTTCTTCCTTTGTGTGAAGAAGCAACATGGGCAAGGTACTGAATGACTTTCTTTGTGTTTTCGGTCTTCCCGGCACCCGATTCACCCCTAGAAGAAATAACATCACTTAGTTTAAAAAGAGAGCTGAGCACATGTGTACTCAGGGACGCTGAAATCCTCACCTCTCTGCTCAGAACAGTTCAGATCTACCCAGAAAATACAACAATGGTTTACTCTTTACATTATCATATAGCTGATTATATAAAAACATTATATAAAATAAACCTTTATATATTACATATACAAGATTTTATATAAATATATTTGAATTACAACAAGACATTTAATCTCTAAAACTTTAAACTCAGTTCACCTGCACTCAAGTGTAGTCTCTCCCAGCAAAAGCTGACTGATTTCCTTGGAATTGTATCTGAACTGTACTATCAGAATAACCTCAAGTTTCCAGCAGGCTTACTGGTTGCCCTGTCTCCCAGCTCTTAACCTCAGTCTCAACCACATGAGGACTGAGCAAAGGAATCTTTACTGACCAGTTCTAGGGACTGGAATAAGAAATGATCACTGGGCTTCGTATTGCAACTCTGACAAATGGAGGCAAAGGATCTGCTGCCTCCTAGTTCCAAAATCTGATGATCCCAGACACTAACCACTTGCTACCTGTGATGCTGACCTTGGGTGTCAACTTGACTGCATACATCTGCAATCAAGTAAAACCCAAGCAGCTGGAACACACTTGTGGGGGATCTTCTTGATTAGATCATTTGAGGTGGGAGACCAACCCTAATCTGGATCATCTGCAGTCAGCAGGTACCTAAAATCTGGCTTCACCTTCTCATGGTAGCCCACATGAAAGGACACAGATGGAATCTTTTTGTCTTTTTGTCCTCCTGCCATTACTCTCACCGGAAAGCGCAACTGTCCTGCTGCTAAAGCTTCCCTTCGTCTGCGCTAGAACCCGCTTTTTCAGGACTCTTGCACACACTGAAGACCAGCGGAGACATCCAGTTTACTGGAGTGAACACCATGGGATTCTTGGCCTTTCCATCAGGAGACAGGTGATGCTGGACTAGTCTCTCTCTCTCTCTCTCTCTCTCTCTCTCTCTCTCTCTCTCTCTCTCTCTCACACACACACACACACACACACACACACACACACACACACACACACACCCCAGTTCTGTTCCTCTGGAGCACCCTGACTAATACACTGACCACCTCTACTCTACATCTCCTCTTAGGTACTCAAACTACCAAACTTTCAATAAAGTTTCTGTCTTTAGAAAGCCTGCTGTTGTAATTTAAACAGCAGCACCAGAGAGAGATGCCATGTGACAGAGCTCATGTGGAGGGCTTCTTTATTAGGGGAAAGGGAAAGGGGGGGGGGAGAGAATGGCCTTTGAGGACAGGAGCAGCAAAGAGAAAAGGGGGGAGGGACAGAGAGACAGGCAGAAAAGGACCAAGAGATGAGAGGTGGGCAGGGACCTTTTATAAAAACATAGTTAATGTCTACAGGTGGTGCTCTTAGTGGCTGCAGCTGAGGATGTATCCAGTCAGAACCCCAAGGGCAGGCCAGAGAACAGATGCCTGAATACTAATACCTGCATTTAAGAATATTACATCCTTTACATTCTCATTTTATGTAAGTATCATTTTCCTCTAGACCTGTGTAAGTTTCAGATTTTACAGATGAATATTTAGTCAACATGAAAAAAATTATAGTTTGAGATAATATAATCACCCCTCACAGATGACTTGGCTCACATCCCTGTATTAGGAGTCTCCAGCAATCTGAGATGTAATCTTCCCCTTGCCTACTTTTTCTCATACATATTGTCTATTCATGGTCCACAACACAATGTAAGGATTTTTGAAATACAATTAGCAACCATTAGCACCATTCTTTGGGAAAAGAAAAGGAAACTACTCTCTGAAGTCTGTTCCACAGACACACGTCAGATACTTTTGCTCCACTATACTTATTCCATCTTCCTGAAACCCAGCTGCCCGCCCCATCCAAAGCAGCCAGGCTTCTGAGAAAGAGCACCAACACAACCTGACTTTTAAGGAAAACAGTGGTCTTCATCTCTCAGGTAACCCTTTTATTCAAAACAAGCAAAGAGGAGGTTTATTTGCCCTCCACGGCCCAGCATCGAGCCTAGCAGATTGAGTGTGATGAATGCTGCCGAGTAAAGGAACGAACGCGGCCCCTCCATCGCCTTATTAACCATCTGGTTACGACTGGCCGTAATAAGTTTCTATGACTTTATTTAGCCATTCACAATCCCTCTGTGGGTCAGTCATTCTTCTAAGGACTAGAGATAGCAGTTGTGAATAAAGCCATGTCCTTGTGGAACTCAAGTTTAGGGGAGGGAAAGAATTAGCACAAACCCTGAATTTTCTGAAGGAAGTAAGGCAGACACTGAAAGGAGAGGTTTGAGGAAAAGCCTTCTTCAGGGAGACACCTTCTCCAAGACAGTTATGAACTAGCAGATCAGAAGACCGGAATGCATTCGGACAGATGGAAAGGCACATGCAAAGGGTCCAAGAAGAGAACTTGCTGTGTTCTGGGACCTGCTGGCTAAAGGTGAAGGCAGAGAAGGGCAGCCTGTGCGGTTCAAGTAGACTCAGGACATGCCCAGGAGTTCGTGGTAAATTATTTGGATTTTAATCAAGTATAATTTCTTCTTTTAAAGTTTTTTTTTTTTTAATTTCATGTGTATGTGAGTTTTGCTTGCATGTATATCTATATACCATGTGAATTCAGTGCCCACAAAGGCCAGAAAGGGGTGCTGGATCCCTGGAAATAGGGTTATAGCTGGTTGCTAGCCACTATGTGGATGCTGAGAATTGAACCTAGGTCCTCTACAAAAGTGTTTCTCAACCTGTGGGACGTGACCCCTTTGAGGGATTGAACAACCCTTTCACGGGGGTTGAATATCAGATACCCTGCATTACATTTCATAACAGCAGCAAAATTACAGTTATGAAGTAGCAATGCAAATAAATTTATGGTTGCAGGTCACCACACATGAGGAACTGTATTAAAGGGTTGCAGCATTAGGAAGGCTGAAAACCAACACATTAGAAGACCAGTGGTGCTCTTAACTGCTGAGCTATCTCCCCAGCCCCTGAAGTATAATTTCTTAATAGCCATAAAACAATTTACTCTTTTTATTGTGAACTTCATTCAAAATAGTGTTTCAATGCTAATCTTTATATTGACTGTTGGTTGCAAGCAGGTAATTGTAAGGATTCAGGCATTACGCTGGTCTGCCTGTCACCTGGCAGAACGAACTCAGGCAGTACTCTGGTCAGCCCAGGGTTCCATGAGTACTAGTCTGCAGGCAGGTGTAAAGGACCCCTTTAAAAGCCAGACCCCTGCCCACATACGCTCTCTCTTGCTCCTTCTCTCTCTCTCTCTCTCTCTCTCTCTCTCTCTCTCTCTCTCTCTCTCTCCTGCTTTCGGTTGGCCAGCAGCTACCCCCTTTTTCTCCCCCCCCCGCTTCTGTTCCGGGTGCCTCTATGTCTCTTCCCTTCTCCCTCGCTCCCCTTTCTAAATAAACTCCTCATTCAAGCTCTATCTGCCTGTTACTCCCTCCCGCCTGGGTCACCCTCACCGGCTATGCAACCTGCTATGCTCTCCCATGTGGGCCCTTACCTTGGGACCCCACTCACTCGGGGCCCTTACTCGGGACCACCCCCATCCCCTTCTCCAGCTTTTATTCTTATAACTGTAACAAAAGAACAACAGTAATATTTTATTGCACTCAAGAAATAAACCTTTTATTTAGCGTAATGATGACTTGTCTTGAAATTAAGATTGTTACTGTTCAGCTTCGTCTGTCTCTGTAGTTGCCGAGCCCTCAATGCTTTCTGGGTACCCAAAGCCTTTGTTCTCTGTCACAATTACAAAGCTGTACTTCAACAAAGGTTTATGAATTTTGCAGAAATTCACATTGCCAGGTCTAATGGAGCTTTCCTATAGAAAATGCTGCTTCTTGGGCCAAAAAGATAGCTCAGTAGGTAAAAAGCTTGCAACGCAAGTACAAGGGCCTGAGTTTGAAATCTCAGAACATGTCTGTAATCCCAACATCCCTGTAGTTATATGGGAGGCAGAGATAGGAAAACTTTTTTGGGCAAGTTAACCTAGTGCACGCATAGAATCACAAGCAGAGAGTCAAGGACTGACTGACACCTGAGATTGTGCACATGTATGTACATGTACAAGTGCATATATACAGAAACACAGAGGGAAAAAAAGCAAAGAAAAAAGATACTACTACAAAGACAGAGGTATTCTAAAACCTCACTGTTGTTGATTTCCAAGGAGTAGTATTTGTGACTCCTCGATTGTCCATTGTAATATGGGAACCAAAGCTCCTACATACAAAGTGATAGAAGAAAAAACAGACTGTTACTAATGGGTGGTATTACATGTAGTGTTCACTCAGACATTGACTGGTTAAACACTAGGTAGCTTGAATGCCTACACTAAGTTGCTTTATGAATTTATAGTATTGATGACACGGTTAAGAATGTGAACTATGGAATAAACATGACCTGCCTGGATTACAACCTTCCCTTTACCATCAGTTCAGATACCCAGTGTCCCTGAAAGGCCCACACATTAAGGCTTGGTTTGTGATTGGTGGCACTACTGGCTGTTAGGGATGAGACTCAGTGAGAGGAAGTTTAGAGGTCACATCCTTGAAATAAGGGATGCTGGAACCCAGTACTGCTTGTCTCATTTACAGTTTTGTTGCTGTGCACGTTCACCGCAATGCTCTGCACTGTCAACAGGCCCCTAACAATGGAACCAACCAAGCAGGGGATGAAGCCATGAGCCCAGATAAGCCTTTCCCCTTCCTCTGTTGTTAAATAGTAAGAGGAAAACAAGAAACAGCATTCCTGCCTCCTGTGCTCTAGGTAAGTTATGTGCTCCTCTGAGACTTAGTGAATAAATTAAAATGACAAGAAGTTATTTCATGCAGCTGAAACAACATGTAAGCATTTAGAACTGTGCCTGGCAGTGGTGTGAATAATGACGATGATTATGGTGACAATGCAGATATATTAACAGGAAGTAACCA